GTTCCAGTTTCAGCTTATACGATTGCATTCCAAGTCCGATTTTAATTTGCAGTTGAAATGGCTAAATAATAAATTTAGAAATCATATAGAAATGTTATTTCTATTACCAAACACCAAGATTCAGTCTCCGACCTCGTAGAAGACGCTCCTAATTTATTTACGATATTTACGCGATCTATAGTCTAATTTATTATCGTTCATATGATAATAAGATTTACGTGTTGAATTTCTCTAGTCTCAGATGTATAAATTAATAAATAAAATTTGCGAGTGTATATTCAATCCTAGACATTTCCAAGGCTTTTCGAGAACTTTAATGTGAAACACGCGGGCCTTAATGTGTTTTTTTTTGCAGACGCAGGAGTCTGCGTCCGCGTTGCATAATTTTGACGTCAATGTATTATAGGCATTTCAACAGATACATTTGCCTGGAATTTAACATCGCGCGTCCTTACTTGGAATTTAAGGTTGTAACCCCGCACGTGATGCCTAGCTGAGGCAGAAAAGGTCCCTCACATTGCGTGATTCGCAACATACTATCTGCAGCGCGCCCGCCCCCTCGTAAATCATTCATCACCGCCTCCCCCACCCCCCCACCCGCCCCCGCGGAGGGGAATAAAATTCGTTTTCTATGGAAATCGCGACGTCTTCAGTTGACATTTCAATATATCGCCTGTACCTATTTTACTTCCTCACGCTGTCACGTTTTTAAAGTTAACGAGACTTCGCTGTAACTTAATCTTAATCGCTTTTGCGAGCGACGCGCGCGCGGTTGTGACGCGAAATTTGCCAATCGCACACCTTGATTTATTCATCTCTTCTGAATGCGCGGGTCTTATCTTTGACATAATTTAAGCTCGATGTAAAACCGCGACTTGTATTTGACTTTCCTTTGGAGATTATTTTAATTAAAAAAAAAAAAAAACATTTTTATGCATTTTTCGGTTTTTTTAGAAAATCTAAAGATTAAAATCCTCATATCGCGTGATTAATCGCAAGCGTCTCGTGACGACACTAATGAAGCAAAACTTTGACAGATGATTAATTAAATAGCGAAGTCCGATGTCTTTTAACAGGTGCAACGTCTCCGCGCGGGTGACGCAAGAAATCAAATAAGGCTCCTTACTAAAGTAAAATAAAATGACTTATGCTTACGCATGCAATTATGTTAGAAGATGCGTACTGTGAAGATGCGTGTTGCTCATCGTATAGGCAATAAGTACGATTGTTCACACTCATCGTGCCTTTGAAAGGCTCATGCCATTTCTGGGTGTGTATATGCACGTGTGCACCTGTGTGTACGCGCGAATATTTACTTGATACATAGTGATGTATAGAGAAATCCAGGTTTTCAAAGTACTTCGCGAAAGTTGTGTCGAAAATTGAAAGCGCTTACCCCTGAAGGATAATTAATAGCGATACGATTGATACAAAGTGATACGATATTCGAAGTTTTCTAAATTAATCGCCAATTTCTCGTCGTGTTCGATGTATGTAAATAGGTGTGGAATTCAGGAGAGAGAGAGAGAGAGAGAGAGAGAGAGACTCATCTTCTTCGTGATCTTTGCATAATCGATGTATAATCATCGGAGTCTGCGTTTACGGTCGCGAATCGTGACGAGCACTGACTTTCTCACGTACAAAAAGCGTGTAAAAGACGAAAAGATGGGAGCCGTTTCGACATTAGAATGTCGGAGACCTGTGCGGCGCACCGACACGTTTTTGCATCGGAGCGACAGGTAAACCACGTTACGTCGAAGCAACATTGTCCGCCTAAGGAAAAGAACTCTGGTCTGCAGCAAACGCAATCGTATAATGCATTCGATTGTTACGATATCCTCGTTATCTTCCCGAGATTCTCCCGCGTCTCGTAGACCGAGAAGCTACCTCAATGCTATCGAGAATCTATCTGTAACATTTTACGTCAAATTTATCTCCGTTTTATGTCAAAAACAATTTATTATTGTTATGACATAAAATGGAGACACGTCAAAGATATTTCTGGCATCAATGATGGCGAATATTAGCCAATACCCGAGGATCTGGGGATCTTCGGTCCAAGGATTAGATACTTGTAGAAAGAAAGAACGGGTGTCTTCGCACGTAGGAGAGAAAGAGAGAAGGAAACCCGCAGAGGGACGAAGGAGCGAGGAAGAAGGAGAGTATTGTCAACGGGAGAGAAGACGCGCGCGCGGCGGCGGCGGCGGCGGCGATCGTCCGGTGGCCGGAGGCGTCCTCCTCAAGCGCTTCGCCGTCGCATCTTCTGAAATGGCAAGGTCACCGGTAGTTACGTCACCAACTTTCCTCCGGCGCGGTGCGCGTACAACTTCGAGAAAACCAAATGTCACAATGACCAAGGACGTTTCGGCCGCGCGCGTAATGTAACGTCGCCTACGGCCAACGCGCGCGCGGCGCGAGGAATCCGCGCCACGGGGAGTTTCGGCTTTCACATTTTCGGGTCGAGATCGCGGCCGCGGGCAAAGAGGATGCGCGCTCCAGGACGTGCAATGGGACGATGCGCATCTCATGCCCGACCGTGGCCTTGTTCGCGTTGCGATTACCTGCGAAGAAAAAAAGAATCTGAAAGAATTAAGAAATAAATGAGGGCCGCAAATCTTCGCGATCGAGAGACAGAAAGATGCGAATCTCGAAAAGTCCGCGGGATCACGAGATGAGATTAAGATTAAGAGACGAGAGAACCCACTTCGCGCGGCCGAGAGTATATTAAATTTATGTAAGACATGCACTCTCACACAGTTACGGCTTTACGTGTGTGTGTGTGTGTGCGCGCAAGGAATGCTACCTACTTTGCAGTCAATAATAAATTTTAGGTAGAGCACACGCGCGCGAGAGAGGCGATTAATTCATAAAATCCGCCCGAGCTGCAGATCGCGCTGACGCGAGACGACGGATGAGGATCATCACGCGCGGCGATTGAAGTCGTCGCATCACGCGCGGCGATTGAAGTCGTCGCATTGTAATACGAGAACGGGAACAATCGCCTTTGTGTGTAGGCCGCGACTCGAGTCGCCCTTGGCAGTGAATTCGCGGATCTCTGCCGCGGAAAATGTTTCGAGGCGTCATTTCGCGATGCGCGCCTGAATGAACGGACGAGTATATATAGATGCATCATACAAATATGTAAATATAAATAAATACACGGCGAGCGTGCTCCCGCGCGGATATCACGGAATGAGAGGGACGTGTTGCGCAACGGCGTAAAACGCCACCAATACGTCGAAGGCTGGCACAGCATCTTCGTGCAGCGACCGCGCGTATATATCGACGTGTCTAATTCGATATATATTGTTATTGTACGCGCGCGTTGTTGTGTGAAGTGAAGGCGCGTAGGTGCGCGCATTAGCAGCGTGCACGTCGTGTAAAAACGCGTACGAACTCGTCGCGTGATAATTTCGCGCTTGCGTCGGTAAATATCATTAACGCCGTGTAAGACCGAGGCAGAGAGGCGCACGTCGTTATAGGTTTCCGTCACGCCTTCGTCGTCCTCGCGCGCGGTAAGTGCACTTGGTAAATGGCATTTTTTTTTGTATTATTACTTGCGCGTGGAAAATTAATGGCTTTATATAATAAGCTCATTATTTTAAATCGCGTTTGTTTGGCTTATTTATATCTACGCGATCGGGAGACGCGCGTGTACAAGATACACACCCGCGTATTCTCGGGATTCTCGGTAACGATTACGATTACGTGCGAATAATATTAACTTACGCGAAGGAGCTGCCGTTATTCATTCGTTTGGTGTCAACTCTACGCGTATTACAACCGATTATGCTGCCAATTGCAATCAAATTTGCATTTCTCTACGCTACGATCCTCGATTAAAATATAGAGACGCGATTGATGTGAATAAACATAAGCGTGTGATGCGGCGATATCGCAAATTTGCGAGAAACCGAAGCTGCCAAAAGCTGTCTTATTTTCCACCGCAAATATTATGACTTGTATAAGTGTAATTAAATGAAGTTAATTATATTATATTATATTATGATAATTATATATACATGTGTAAAATTAGCAAGTGATTCGATCAGCGAATTTAAATGTTCAACGGAAAGCAAGACAGCCTGCGATCAACGAGTAGCAGCGTCTATAAACGGCGACCTCAACGTCGGATCGCGGATGCATCCTGCATTCGCGGGAGAGACTCATCCGCGAATCCGTCGGGGGCTGTTGCTGCTGCATGCTGCACGTGCAGGTGGGGGGATGTGCAACGCGGCACCGCGATTTTCCGCCTATATAAAGGCAGATGCACCGAGGGAACCCCGGTATCTACGTATCGGTCGTCGTTTAAGGACGAAGGGCCGCCTTCCGGGATCGTTCGCAGATCGTTCGACCACGAAAGAGAGCCTGGCGCGATGAAGACGGTGGGTGGCGATTCTAGAGGAGAAATACAGATACGTACATCGAGATACACTACGGGATTTTTGTTTAAGAGGAACGATCGCGGGCCTCTTCTTCAGGGGCCTTTCCGGGAGGGACGGGAGGTGGGGGATCGAATCGTGGGGGTTATCGACGATTTATTTTTCGGGCCGGCGGGTTCCCCGAAACGGACCCAGCCAATTTTTGCGCAACAGTGAAAGTGATGAGGATTTTGTGACATTTGTGCGCGCGTGAGACTACGCACACTTGTTCGTGATAGACCGCAGCCACGAGAAAATGTCTACAGGGTGTCGCGGCTGCAATTTCGATGATCAATTTGGAGTACATTCGTATCTTTCGTTTTTTTTTTTTTTTTTTTTTTTTTTCGGGAAAATCTGACAGCACGCAAACTTTTAATGTTCGAATATATTAATTAAACAGATCTCGAATTGAGGTCACAGAAATTCGGGTCGAGTCGTTTAAGTGGTCTGTAGAATTTGTATTTACTTATGTGATGATATCCGTCAGAGATCAAAGTCAATCTGTCAATGTAGATTAATCTCGTACATTAACTTTAACTTACTTTTTATCTTTCTCTAGTTCTAAGAATTAGAAACAGATAAAGAGTAAGTTAAATCGAGATTAAAATTAATCTATATTGATAAAAATATTTCCATGGTTCGCGAGAAACTTTCATCTTATGATTATATTATGTAATTCGAAGAAACTTAGGATTCGATAATTCAATTAACGAGCAATCATTTCTAGATGCTCAGAATGAATCTGCGACACTTTATAGATCCAAAGAAGCGACGTTGTTCCACGTTCGCCGTGCACACGATATGCATATCTCGACAATTTCGTAATAATAATATCCAATACTGATCGCCGAAAGGTCAGATTCCGAAAAACGACCGAGTTTTCGACATAACTGCCACGTGTTTTCGCAGTGATCCACTATCGAGAATTCATTTAACGGAAATGTTTAGATTATCTCTTGCAGTAAATAAATCTAAATATATGCGATCACAATAAAAGATACGTCTGATTAATTTAATAAAACTCACCATGACGAAGAAGAGGACGTTCTCTCGCTTTCTTTCCCTTGAACAAAATGATTTTCTTGCTTCTCGTCACGCAGGTGTTCGTCATTTTGGCGCTGATAGCCGGCGTTCTTGCGGCGCCGCAAGGCGATATCACGATCGTGAAGCAGGAGGAGGTGAACAACATAGGGGTAGGTGGGTACCATTTCAGTTATGAGCAGAGCGACGGGCAAAAGAGGGAGGAGACGGCGGAGCTGAAGAACGAGGGCACCGACGACGAGCATCTCGCCGTCGTTGGTAGTTTCAGTTTCGTCGCGCCGGACGGACATACATATAGGTACGCTACGAATTGTCACTTTAGACGACTTATAATTGGATAGGATTCTAACAATCTTAATTATTTATAATCTTATATTCTGACTTTTTTTTACGTATAGTGTGTATTCTGACGCTTCTGAAGCTCAAAATTCTTTCAAAAAGTCAATCATTAAAATTCTATATTTCTATGTACATTTTTTATAATTTTGTCATATTTATTTTGATGTCTGTGTGTGTGTGTGTATTTCAGCAGGTATTGAAATCTTAGAACAGAATGTTCTAAGATTGAAATACATTTCAATGTTAGATATGCGCAAATTTCTCGATTTTGCAACTGTCTTACAATAAAATTGAACATAGGATTACAAATTGAATTCTAATTCCTGAACCCTGACACGAATTACGGATCGTCTAAAGTGGCCTTTAGGATTGCAAAAATGATCGCCAGATACATTAGACGTTCGCGTCGTTCAAGTACGAGTCGCGGCTCTTTGAACACCCTCTCTGTAATTGCAGGGTCGATTACACCGCGGACGAGAACGGATTCCATCCAACTATCAATCTCGTCGCAAAGTAAGCGGGCTCGAGGACTTACATCACCTCAGGTCGTCGACGTACACGCTCGTGTAATTTACACACGAATTAGGATACTTCTAATCGTATGACACTGCAAGCTAGGCACGCGATTCACCGATCGGGGGGGGGGGGGGGGGGCCAAGGGCGAAGAGCTGGCGTCGATCGCTAGCTGAAGAACGTATTGATCTTTCGATCCATTCCTCTCTCGACGGATTCGTTCTCGCGAGTCAATTCGCGAGCGCTTCGCGACATCAATCGCGGAAAATATCGCGAAGGGAGAGCACCGTGAGATGCATTTCTTAAAATCGAGAATAATCGCACGATCGCGTAATAATTGGGACTAAATTTTCGCATCGCCTTCGCTCCAAAACCAAGAACAATCTTCTTCGAATAAGAGCATCTTTATATACATATACTATTCTGGGAATAGTATATATAAAGTTACGAGTATAATTAACGAAATTATTTCGCCCAGTACTAATTTTTTTTCTTTCTTTCGATCCGTGCCACCCGCGAGTGAAACGCGTGCTTACTCTCAACCGGTAACATATGTATATTATTTCTCGAAACTGCCAGCGAAACACTTTGAACGAGAGACGTCCTACACGTTTACAATTCTATCTTCTCAGCGAGGCGACGATGTAGCACTCAATGGTGCGCCACAGTACCTGCGTTTCTCACTCCGCGCGGCGCAACCTCTTTCTTTCTTTCCTTTTTTTTTTTACACGTATCTATATGTATCTATAACATAAAACAAAATTCCTGCAAATAAACTTGTATACATACTGAATCCCTTCCTATGATTGTTTACCATGTGCGTTCGTGCTTTCTATACAAACAATAAAGTCTTTGAACGATCTACAGTTAACGTTCAAGATAGAAATTAACGTTTATGATTTTTTAATACCATGTATTTTACTAGATATTCTATCCAGAAATTCGAGAAACGCAAATTGTAGATCGTGTACAATGGGGTTTTAGGATGAGAACAAGAATCAGTTCTTACGATACAAAAAAAAGACATTTAATTCATTATAAAAAGATGGAATATTAGCTGTGTTAATATTACGTAAAAAAAATATATATCAGTTAGCGCATTAATGTAATAATAATTATGTGTCAGATTGTGTATATAATTAGTAGTATTAATATTATTGCTAATATTAATTTGTATAAGCTCGTAATTTTACATATATAAATATCTCTTAATACATTAGTAAATATTAAATTTCCTACGATTAGCCTATGTACAATTCCTTTAATGTGTACTATATCGAAATAATGTCTAGTATTGAAAAAAAATTCATGTAGCTATTTGGTAAACATACGTCGGTTACGTATGTAACCTATTCAAGAAATTAATCGTGATATGTGCAAACTGCAGTATTATGCAACTTATACGGTTGAACAATACTGGAAAAAAAAATACGATTCACAATAAAGCCGTAAGTCCCTTAGTGCAACAAGTGCAACTAATCCTTTTCTTGTTAACTGTAAACAAATTGCGCAGTTTCTGAAGATATGAGGATATGAATGCTGAAAAATTTAATACGTATACCCATATATATTAAATGTTTCAGTAGAGGTAATTGAGCGGGTATAGACTTCATGAAAACTTGCAAATTTTTTATCTTTCAACTTTGGCTATTGAAGTTTAATGAAATATAATATTGTATATATAGATTGCGTCCACGATTAAATATCAAACCAATTCACTCGAATATTTATATTAAAACAATTAATTATTTGTAACACAAATAATATCAAACATATGAAAATTTGAACCGCGGCCAAACGTAGTACATTCGTTACTTTCTTATATATGAATACTTGCATTGTTTATACGTGTATCTCTATATGTGTATCAGTACATTCCGCATTCTTACGAACGTTTGCATCATTTATATATCGATCAGATGCAAGTAACATATATATTCGTAAAGCGAAGTAGATTTTTCTTCGTTTGTATATTATTTTAGACCAAGTGTATTTTATCCCTATGTATAATCCGATGAGCGATACGTAACGTATTAATGCACACGCATGTTTCCTATCACAAGTCGATCTAAAACGTACACGAATACGTTGCTTGAAATTAACGAGGTTTAAGCTTGATTTAAGCTTTGTAAAATGAACTTCGGCATGGTCCCCAAGCTCTGATTAAGCTTAGAGTTTTATTCAGTTTCGACATCCATTGTAATCCTTCTTCTTTTGTGTCAGCTAATAAAAAGTGTCTGTAAAAAATGGGAAATATTGTATCTTAACTCGAGCCTTGTTCCACAATTAATAGCAGAACCGAAAAGCAAAGATACGTACTCAATTATAGTTTCAATTCCATCTGTCTTCGTAACGAGATTATTAGTGTCCCCTGGTAGCGCGGGTCTCGATACCTCAAGTAAAAATGTGTAAGGACGAGCGTATTTTTCCCGATTTATAAATTGTACATGTTTCGTAATTACACCTGCAGCAGTGATAGAAATCAAATCAATAATAATCGGGAAATATAGAGATGTGTAGAAATTACGATACAGTCGGAAAGTTCAAAGTTTTACCCTCCAAGTCAATCTGCCCTGCTGGACTTTTCTTGTGCTCGTCCTCGGGATGTACCCAGTAGTAAAGCTTGGCGTCTTTCAGCCAGCACCATCTTCGACGCCAAGCACCCAAATTTGTAATATCCTCGAAGAGTGTCAAAAATCCGCGATGTTCCACCGATACCGAGAGCTTACGCGATAAACGCATTCGCAGGTGTCCTTCCAGAGGAGAATGCGACGAGATCTAAACGTAAAGTGCGCATTTAAAATTTTCCGAGAATTATACATACGTTAGTGTCGGTCCACAATGAGGATTTTAAGCCCTAAGCAGTAAGAAATAGACCAATCGTAGTCGAATATGAGAATTAATCGATTGTAATTGGTCAATATCTTACGATGTGAGACTTAAAATCTTTATTGTGGACCGACACTTATAAATACTGACTCTATATACTGGAGAATTAATATACGCACCCCGAGCAGAGTAAATTGTTCATAATTTATGTCATCGAGAGTAAGGGTCGTAGTTCCGGACAATTCGAAAGCAGGCGATCTGATTGCGTTTGGGCCTGCTGGGCTCTGTATGTCAGGCATTACAAACTGATTCTTTTTCTTTGGTGTCTTATTGACCGCCTGCGAATGGATTAAATTTAATCCGTCATTACACGTACATTTTGTAGTATGTTTGTATTTTTTTTATCTTAAAACAGGAAGGAGCCTTGAAACTTACTTTCACAGTATGGCTAATGTGATATTTCTTTTCATGTGGCAAATATTTCGGTTGCGTCTGGAAGGTGTATACTTCAACAAGAACCTTGAAATCACTGTGCAAATTATCAAGTTTCAGCATTGAAGTAAAACGGATACATGAATCGCCTGGTTCGGCGGTCGCCGCTTGGGTAGCGACCACTTCTCCCAAATAATACATCAAGCAGACGCAATGAAGATATGTATCTGCAATAATACGCAAGATTATTTTAATACAGCTTCGTCTTTCGTAGAAAAACACGTGAAACGTAACTTATGTTACACTTACTCATGCCCATATTTCTGAAATATTCCTGCTTGAGTGGCAACGTAATGGCAGAGATAGTTAATGACCCACTCCCCTGCACTTCCGGCAAGCCTGCCTTGACAGGTCTCAGGGTGCCTTCTCGTTTCAGCCTTTGCACTTCGTTCAATGCGGCCTGGCGTTTATGAGCTAAGCAGAAAAAGGAAACATTTTTCACATTTTGCATATCAACATTAATATTCAATTCCATTAACATTTAATATATATATATATATGTCTATACATATATATATATATATACATATGTATGTGTGCGTGTGTGTGTGTGTGGTGTGCGCGCGCGTGTATGTGTGTGTAAAAAAAAATCATATTTACTAGCAACAAGCAGAGCCCATTCGCCACCGACGTGCTCACTGGAGCCGTTGAATTCGACAGTAGAATGACATAAATTCAACGCTTTGCTAGCTTCTTCTATCTTCTTTTGTTGCGTCGCAACTTCGTCCAGTAACTTCTTCACTTTATTTTCCACCAATATGGATTCGTCTTCGCGTTTCTCTGTACCAGAAATTGAACTTGATCCCGTTTCGTATCTCGCGGCTGAATTAATTTTAGCCAACTGAAATTACAATAATGTTACAAATCTTTTTTTCCGCATCAATTGAGATATCGAGCTACTTACTTGAGACTGTTGTCGTCTGTACGCACTGACAGTGCGCACCAGTGGTACGCGCTTGCCACCATCCTCCGGTCTATCTGAATCTTTTAAAGGTGAACGATATCTGCGAAATGAAAAATAGCTTTTAAAAACAGTCTTTTTTAGAAGACAAGCAAAAAAAAAAAGTATTTCCGATAAAAATCGAAATGTATGATTAACTATACATACTTGGAAGTGTTGCATCCCATCGACAGACTTTCGCCACCTTTATTCACTTTAGGCGGTGTAGGACCTTCCTCCCTCACGTCAGCTAATTCTTCATCAAGACATTCGTCCAAATACTGATCCATCTCGTCGAGGACCGAAATGTCTGATGTAGTGCTATCTGGATCCGGTTCTATGCACCTCTGTAATTACATTTAAAAAACAAATCATAAATATATCTAATGCATATTTAATAATCTATAATATTGCATAGAGATTTTTGTATACTTTTTTGTTGAATAGCGAACGTTCGTCGAGTGCATGCAAGATACTGCGTCCAAAACTCATTCGCCCAAAAGATGAATTTTGTACGCTTTCGTAATCACTTTCAGATTCCTGGTCATCATGCTGTAAAGAATTGAGAAGTACGTAAATTATTTCTTTGTATATATATATATTTTTTTTCAGTTTTAATTATTTATCTTACTCGAATATAATAATCGGCTTCAGAGGCAGTCTCAGTTTCCGTCTCGTCGAGAGTAGCTGTTACAGGTTCGGTACTGTCGACAGTGTATTCTGTATCGCTCTCTGTAACTTCACTTTCCGTAGCTTCAATCTCGGACAGATTAGGATAAAGAGATCCTGGTTTTGGAGGACACACGCGGATGCGTTTGATGTCGGATGTTGTATTTAAATGTTGAACCTTGGGTGGGCTTCCGACAACTAAAAAAAAGGGAGGGGGGAAAAACCGTATTACAAATATTGTAACAGAAGAAGAGATGTGAAAGAGGAAAATATTTTTTTTTATGTACCTTGTCTTTTTACCGGAGAGGATTTACTGTGATACGATATGATTTCCGGATGTGGCAGCGGCGGTGGCGGCGGAGGCGGAGCAATATGATCCTGCATTTAACATATAAAATTTACAATTTTATTACATCGCGATAAAAAAGTTTGCGCTATTTTTCCTTTCGCGCGCAGTGACTTTAATCTTACCGGAGCAGGAGTCGGCTTCACGGGACAAACGGGCGAATTCTTTGGCGACGACGCTTTGCCACCCCCTTCGCTGCTCTCGCTCGTTCGAACGCAGGATCCAGCGGCGGTACGAGCGACTTCCCTATTGGTATTGAACCGCGAGCGTAACATGCCCAATTCACGCTGTCTCTCAGCGTAAGTAGCTTGCAAGATGCGATTCTCCATTTCATCCACTTTCTTATTGTTGCCTTGCTCGAACAGCGCACGTTGTTCAAGAACCGATTTGCTCGGAATGTCGGCGTTTCGATTGTTCGATGGAGAATCTGAAGGATGAAATATTATTATATTATTGTTAAATATATTCTAAATACGTAATAAATGGGCCAAATGTTTTTATAATTAAAAATTATATGCACCCGCATTGGATCCCAATTGCTTGCTGTCCTTTTCCTGCAATTTCTTAGGCGGTATGGACATTGTCAGCGGCGCCTTGGGTATCAAAGCCTCCCCTTTATTTCGCTCGAAGAATGCCATTCTTTCGGCGAGCGACATCTGAGCAGGATCTCTCGCCCTCGTTTCCGTATTCTTAGCCTCAAACATCGATGCTTTACTCAGCACTGAACCTGACGGTTGCACCAGAGTTTTAGGCGAGCCGTTAAACACCGGCCTCGACGGTAATCGAGAGCTACTGGTAGTATTCGCGCTTTTAACGTTTTCGGGAGTGTTAAAAACTTTACTGTCGTTGCTTCTGGAAGAGTTAGCCGGACTTGCCGTCACACTGGCATCACCCTCCGTTTTCTTGCCCCTCGGCGACTCAGACCTGATAAACGAAATTCGTTTCTTTTCCGCCGCCTGCTGATGCGCAGGGCTCGTGAACTTGTTAGGCGATAAACGACTTGTGACATCCTGATTCGATTCCTGGGAACAATGCTTATAGTCATACACAAGACGAGTATTGCTTTTCGTACGACTAAAGCCTTGAGCCTCCTGTAAATATTTTTTCAACTATCCAAATGTGATCGTTCAATCGCGCTACTTCTCCCCTTCCAGAGACATAAGAGTGTGCAGAAGAATGAAAAATATAGTAGTACAAAAAGATCTAACGTTGCACTTTGTACATTTAATGCAAATAAACACGAAAAGAGTTGAGTGAAGCTTTAGCCTTTTTTAGTTTTAAGAATAAAATTATAATATGTTTTACCAAGTTTTCTAACACCGTTTTGTCCCACTTTAATTGTTTGGTTGGACTTAGATCTTTGCTCTTCCTCCCACTGCTGGCGGTCCATTTGTTACTTTCGCTCGTGCTTGGTTGTGACTCGGATCCATTTCTAACTTGCTCATTAAACTTTGCTTGTATTTTTTCTGCTTTACTAGTTCCAGGTTTCATCTGTAAAAAAAAAATTGCATATTATAATGCAAGATTGTTTGATACATTTTATTAGAATAAAAAACTTTTAAGTCAAGTATATAAGGTACCTTGGTATTAGTTAACGTTGGATGAGATAAATCATCCTCCCAATTGTTAATCGTCGAAGCCAAAGCTGCTAATCTGTCGAGTCTAGCGCCTCTCTTGACTGGCTTGTAATCCCCGTCATTTTCTTCCGCGGTAAACTTCTCTTCGGTCCTGTGTATGGGTGAACTTAACTCAAGAGTGCTATCATCTGTAGAAAAAGTTACATATTAATTCTTTCTATTGTCCACGAATATAAATGTTAAAAATAACTGTGCGATTCATTCTATGTAAACTTGAAACTTAAATTCTTTAAAATTTTTTTAAGATATTACATTTAGTCTTATAAAAAATTTTAATCGCAATAATTTTTGTAACATGACTTAAAAAAAATGTAAACATAAAATGAAGTATAATCATGCATACTATTATGCATACATGTATATATCTAGATATAAACATGCTCTCGTATATCAGTGTTGGAAACAAGTTTTGAAACAGCTTGTGTGGGAGTGCCCCGTATGAATCGTGTGGGAGTAACCGAACGGGAGATTCAGAGTGATATTTAAGCTTGAGTTTATACACTACTCTAAGAGAGATATAGGATTCCTACCCAATGTTGAACGTACATGTACTTATTAAATTTTAAATTCTGCTTACCCGAATATAATTTTCCAAGTCTGTGCAACTTGGATCGTACATTGTAAGTCTCAAATTCGCTATTCTCCTTGTTGCTCCGCTCATTATTCTCAGATGTGGTATTCGACTTGGATATAGATACAGGCTTAGATACAGGAGACTTGCGAGGAGACTTGACGGGCAGTGCACTGACTGCAGCTGCTTTGACTGGTGATTTGGCAGACATTTCATTTACTACCGCTAAATAAAATATTTCTTTTGAGAAATGGTGACTAATACCTAACAGATTTTGTCTTGCAATTTTTATTATAAATATATTTTTCTAACTGTAGCCATTAAAGTTTCACAAGCGTTTGCGAAATAAATCCCTGGAGGATTACCTGTGGCTTGTTCAAGCAAGGCATTGGCATTTTTCAAAGGACTCCGCCTCTTTTTAACGTCGTGTCCCGCGTTTGACAACTGCTCATCCAGCTTCTCTCTCCTCGCTTTAGCGCGCTCCAACATACGCTGTTCATCAATACCAGTGTATATTAAAGCGTGATATAGCAAAACATGACAATTTATATTACAAGAACGCTTACGTGTCACAGTCTACATCACAATATTGATATTTAGTTCTATCGTAATGGCGTTAATGCAAACATCACGTAGCAGAGATTATATACTGATTTAATAATAACGATTTCAATGATCAATTTCGCGTTTGCTCATTCCTCTCAAAAGTGAAGTAAACAAAAATTTTAATCGGGAGATAAATAATTTTCTTAAATAAGAAAGATTCTAGACGTTGTAAATCATGAAATACAGAGTCCGTGAATTACAACTACGTCACGGTACGTGCCAGTATACCCGTATCGTCGGGCGTCCCTTCCCTCAAGAGCGGGGAAGGCACGAACAAAAAAGCAGGATCTCTACCTGGACGAAGGGCTCCATTGTTCCTGACGTTTTGTCTACGAACGCTCGCTCGGATTCCGATCACGAAATCGCCACCGCTTCCACGTGCGTGCGTGCGGGAAAGGACACCACCCCTTGGAACGACACCGTACGAATGCGCGGAACGACCCTTTTGCGCTCCGCAACGCAGCAACGGGAGTTATCCTTATTTCCGACCGTTGAATTTGAACGCGGGCGCCATACTGACGCGGGAGTGGGGACGGACGGCGGCGGGGGGGCGAGGGGAAGAGGAGGTGCCGCGATCTCTTGCGGCGGACGCTGGCGGATGGATTGAGGGGTGGAGGGGAAAGGGGGCGGAATGACAGTTCTCGCCGACTCTCTCCCTGCCTCGCGCGACGCGATCACCCGCGGCTGATATCACGCGAACGCGTAAAACGTGCGTCACGAAAAATGCGCGCCAAACGCGACCTTTCACTTCGCGTGGCGTAGCGCGCCCGTGCTCGCTTTTTTTTCCTTCACTCTCCTTCCCGTACGTGTCCCTCTTTTTTTTTTTTTTTCGTATATAACAATTCGCACGTCTGTCGTCCGTTCGTCGTCTCTGTTGACGTTGTGCGTTGTTTACGCTTCACTTTCGAAGCGAATCGCGGATGGTTCGCAACATGTATTTAACTTCGCGGAGCGGGCGAGGAAGGCGGGGGGGAGGGGGCGGAGGGGGACGCGCGATAAGATGCGAAAAGTGAAACGGAAATTGATATCACAAGGCGTCCTCGAAGCTTCGGGGATAGGCGATAACGAACCTTGCGCGTTCCCCCCGTCGGGATCGGATTACGAATGTCGGAGCCGAGCCGAACTCCGTGCTCCATACATCACCGTACCGAGAACGATGCGAGAAGAGACGGCGAAAAAGACGCGATAGGGGCTTCGGTTCGCAGTGACGTAGCCACGAATTTCTTCCTGTCCTGTTATTTTTTCTATTTAACGAAGCAATTAAAACATGTTCACCTTTTTTTTTACTTCTGCAAAATTCTATTCCATGCAAAAAGAAGAATATTAAAAATAAATCCATACATTTCAGCTTCTGCAAATATTCAATCGGTTAACAAAAATTTATATTTCGATGTATTATATATTAAAGGCTCACCTTTTGTAGAAGTAAACGTTCTTTGATATAAAGCCATTATGAAAAGACAAGAGCGAATTTCTTGCAGATAGACACAGAAACGTTGAACTTTTTGTGACTGTTAAAATAATAAAACGTCTACGTACAATAAAACGAAAATATCTATTTCATATCCTTCAATTTTCTTCAACAGTTAAAATAGATTAAAACGATACGATAATGCTAATCAAAATTTTCAAAGATTAAAGCTCTGAACTTTTTTCTAAAAGTAGAAAAAAAACGTTTATTCTTTTTTCATTCTCCGACTCTCTTACAAACTTGGGCCCTTGAGCAAAACACTTGAATCGTATTTAATAGTACGCTACTGATGCGACCGTATGATCTCATTGTTTGACCTCACGGTACGATACGATAATGCTAATCAAAATTTTCAAAGATTAAAGCTCTGAACTTTTTTCTAAAAGTAGAAAAAAAACGTTTATTCTTTTTTCATTCTCCGGCTCTCTTACAAACTTGGGCCCTTGAGCAAAACACTTGAATCGTATTTAATAGTACGCTACTGATGCGACCGTATGATCTCATTGTTTGACCCCACGGTTTGAAATCACGCCACGTGATTGGTCCACGAAAGCATTTCTCGTACGGTACAAATTACAAACTTGCGCATTTAAATTTTATTGTAAATCGTTTGTATTGCCGTGAATTGTCGCGAAGGAAAAAGTTACGTGTTGTCAAATTGAGAGTAAATTTAAGAATCACGATGTTTCATACAGTCGGCTAGTCTAGATATTCGTGGCAACGAAATTAACTGAGAAATATAAAAAAAATATAAATATAGAATATATTAATTCTAAAATTCTGTACATGTGTGATAGTGAGATTGCCATGCTCTGGCACATGATGAGTTGTAAACATTTTATTACTACCAAAAAAAAAACGCGAGAGTATCACAATCGTCGTGTCAAACACAGTTAAGTGTTAACGTCCAATCGTGCACTATCTATCCCGGTGGGACGTTTATCTCGTATTCTCGGATGGGCAGTGCTTCGTCATACATGGGACGACTCATCCCCGGTGTCAGCCGCCATGGCTTCGCGATTCTCGTACGCCCAAAAGCCGTGGAATTCGATCAGGATACTGACCATCGTGTCGCCTTGTCCGCTGCAATCAGAGGAACGTTTCAGTTACATTATATCGCACTTTCCACTGTAATATATATTGCACATTCGTGATTCTCTTACCAAGACAATAAATCCTGCAGCGTAATTTTGCACGGATCTGCCGGCTTCACCATATCGAATATCTCGTCTTTGACATCTTCAAAACTAACGGGTTCTTGGCCATGCATCGTCATCTGTTCTTGTATAGCCTGCAAAGTGATACTTGTTGATTCAGAAGCCGCTCAAAAAATTTACATTACACAGGAATGTAATACGTACCCTGAAGAAATAATTGAGACAAAAAGTGTCCAAGTAACCGCGATTATTGATGTCGAGAATCCGAAAGAGATAATGAAGACTCTGAGGTTCGTGCCGATTTTCTAATGCCAGAACGAAATCCAGATATGTTTTGTAATCCATCTCGCCTTCGTACGTAAGGCATTCTTGAAACACCCGCTCGAGAAAAACGCCGGTTAGAGTACCAGTGCCATATCTATTAGCGAAATAATTATATCTTTAACGTTGAATATATTTATGTAACCCTACGCGATGAAACTCTGTGATTTATTACCCAGCGAGTTCCTCTTTATTCAACATTCCATTGTGATCTCTGTCGAGATTAAGATATTGCCCGTACACTTTAAGGGCCGATGGGGCAGAGAACCAGTTCGCCTCTTGCAAATCCTTCGGCAAATCCTCGTCTCTCAATTCTAGCAGATCGTCCAGAAAGCTGCACGCTAAAATATCCTGAATACGAACTCTGCCGGTTCGTAGCGGGTCGAGGAAGAACAAGAACTTCCTGACTGCTGTACACACGTAAAACGAATGGAAGGACTTCTCCAGCCCTTCGAGTTGCGACAACGTTGGTATCAGTTCTAAGATGTAATTCTCCAAATCCTGCGAATAAATCAGTAAACGATTAAAAGAGCATACTATTTTTTAACTTATTTTTATTATATTTATTGTTGAAAAGAATTCGAAAAATAATTGGCATAAAATATCTTGTGACTCTATTATTTCAACATTTATAATACATTTTTACTTCTGACTCTAAAAAGTTGATTCTTTTTTTGCAATAACTTCATAAAAGAGTGTTTCACTTTGTCTCAAATAAAAATATCCCCTAAATAATAATAAAACAAGAATTTTAAATGAATTATAGAGACTCTCACCGACTCTCTGAGATAACCCTGTCCCGTAATGTCATACAAAGACAGTCCGATTCTCGTTTGATGCAACCAAACTTTTCGCATGACATAATTGAACAGCGCCATGATGCTGATTCTACCGTGTGGATCTCCTTGTTGCAGTTTGGCGAAGACAACCGCGGTGAAATACGGACTGCACTTCGCTCCCGCCAGTTTGCCTACTTTCTTAAAGTCCTCGTAATTAATCAACTGCTCCTCCCCTGACAAGGGTGGACTGTGGTGTTTGTCCAACAGAACCCAGAGTGCCTTCAGCTCGTTGTTGTCGAGCAATTGTCGGGAACGTCTCTGCAGGAATAAGGCACGTGTCTCCTCGCGCAACTTCTGCGGTAGAATTTCATCTTCCTTCGGCAACTAAAACACAAATATCATGACGCATAACAAGAATGTACTTCGGTGCTCCGTCCAAGGTTCACTTGCGGCACAAGAGACAAGTGTTTACCTTGAAGTAGAACTTCGGTATGACTTTGTAAGTGGAATCGTCTTTAGCCTTCACGCCCTTCCATTGCTGATACATCTTTTGAAAGTATTCGTCCTCTCTCTTCTCGTCTTCTTGAGAATTCTCATCAGCTGTAACAGCATAATCAGTGAAACAAATAAGCGCGAAATGGTGCTTGTATTTTTATTTAGAAAATGCATATATCGTGTCTTTTTTTTTTTAAGAAGAAACGGTGCTCTTATCAGAAGACGAAAGCACGTATACGTACATTTCTTTGCCGAAGCGCAGCTCCGCAGCAGCGTTTCTAGCTCCATGTCCTCGCAAATGTTTACACTGTATATCCAAATTCCGTGTCTTCTTTCTTAAAAAGAATGATCTCGCACACCTTTTACATTTAGACTGTTTCTTTTAGTAGTCTCGCGTTACAATTATTCTTCCCGTCTTTGCAACAAATTGACGTACTAGCTTTAAATATTCGAAGTCCTGCAATGTTTGGTCGCGCTTTGGTTATGTCACGTCGAGATCAGCTGCTGGAGGCCGCGACGGACTCGGTTTCGAACGTCGCGAACAGGGAATTGATGAATCCAACGATCCGCACGTTCGTTCTCCTTCCGTTCCTGGGCATTCGGGCGATCGAAACGGAATACACGAAAATCCGCTTTCGCATTGCGCGCGACCGCGCGCGCGTGTTGTACGTTACGAGGCTCGCGGTGTGTTGTTGGTCAGTTAGGCGCAACGTGTAAGGTTAGAGTTGGTTAGAGTGACGTCGACTCGCGCGGCAGGCGGACAACGCGATGTTTACGGCGAGCGGCGACGGGATTGTTTTGACTACGTGGCGAGCGCGGGGCGCTCGAGGCTCACCTCGTGGGGCCGGTCGCATCGCGTAACGTAACGTCGACCGGACGCACGGGTGCGATGCAGCACGGTGATGACGGTTAAAGCGGGTAAAGGTCCATCACGGAGTGTCGGTGACGGTTATAGCAGCGAGAGACGAGCGAGATGATTCTCTTCAGAGCGGGCTCGATCCTCGGCTTCCTGATTCTGGTGAGCGGTTTCCGGGAGTACGGCAGGAGGGACCTGATCGGCCTGCGGGAGGAGGTACGGGCCATGTTCGATTACGCCTACTCGAGCTACCTGACGCACGCCTATCCGTACGACGAGCTGCGCTCGCTGAGCTGCGACGGCTTCGACACGTGGGGCAGCTTCTCCCTGACCCTGATCGACGCCCTCGACACGCTCGCGGTCATGGGCAACTTCTCCGAGTTCCGCCGCGTCGCCGAGCTCATCGGCACGCGTGCGAACTTCGAGGCCAACATCAACGTGTCGGTGTTCGAGACGAACATCCGGGTGGTCGGCGGCCTTCTGAGCGCACATCTGCTGTCGCGCCGGGCTGGCGTCAAGCTGGAGCCCGGCTGGCCGTGCAACGGCCCGCTGCTGCGCCTCGCCGAGGACATGGCCAAGCGGCTGCTCGCCGCGTTCGACACGCCCACGGGGATGCCGTACGGCACGGTGAATCTCAAGTACGGCGTGCCGGAGGGCGAGACCAGCATCACGTGCACCGCCGGCATCGGCACCTTCCTCCTGGAGTTCGGCACCCTCTCCCGTCTGACCGGCGACCCGCTGTACGAGGAGGTGGCCATGAACGCGATAAAGGCGTTGCACTACTACAAATCCAGCATCGGCCTAGTCGGCAATCATATTGACGTCCTGACCGGCCACTGGACCGCACAGGATTCCGGCATAGGCGCCGGGGTGGACTCCTACTTCGAGTATCTGGCGAAGGGTACGCTGCTGTTTCAGGATCCCCTGCTGGCCTCGATATTCCAAGAGCACAAGCGGGCCATAGAGAAGTACATACGCCGAGAGGACTGGCATCTGTGGGTCTCCATGACCAAGGGTCAAGTGACTCTGCCGGTCTTTCAGTCGCTGGACGCGTACTGGCCCGGCGTGTTGAGCCTCTTCGGCGAGATCGGCGACGCGATGAGGTCCCTGCACAATTACCACCGCGTGTGGAAGCAATTCGGATTCACCCCGGAATTCTACAATATACCGCAGGCCGAGGCGGGGACCAACCGGGAGGGCTATCCGTTGAGGCCGGAGCTCATAGAGTCCGTCATGTATCTTTACAGGGCGACCAGGGACCCGTATCTGATCCATGTCGGCGTGGACATCCTGAGGAGTCTGCAGCACAGCGCGAGGACCACGTGCGGCTACGCGACCATCAACGACGTCCGGGACCATCGTAAGGCGGACCGTATGGAGTCCTTCTTCCTCGCGGAGACCACCAAGTACCTGTACCTCCTCTTCGACACCGACAACTTTATCCACAACACCGGCTCCGAGGGCGAGATAATAAACACCCAGTGGGGCCAGTGCGTGGTGGACGCCGGCGGTTATATCTTCAACACCGAGGCCCACCCGATCGACCCCGGTGCTCTCTATTGCTGCCGGCCGGCGCAGGAGATCTTCCCGGACAAGCGGCCGATCCTGAGGCGATTCCTCCCGACGCAGCGCCAGGATCCGGCGGATAACGCCTCGCCGAACGAGCTTCACCCCGAGACGGACGCCACCGGCAAGAGTCCGGACGTGCTGCCGATCGCGATAGCGAAACTGTCCGAGATCAGGCACTCCTCCGCGAGCGGGAAAACGGACGTTTTCAACGAGAGCGCCTCGTCGCCGAACGCCTCGTCGACGGAGCCGCCGCCGTCGACGGATTCCGCCGGCCGCTACGAAAACAAGGAGGCGCAAGTCGAGGAAGAGGAAGAGGAGGAGGAGGAGGAAGAGGAAGCGGAGAAGTCGAATCGGAGCGCGAGCCCGAGCGTACGGTTGCCGACGGCGCAGGTCCTCGCGCCCTCGTCGACCATCTACAAGGCCGACGACAGCGACGGGTCCGACGGCTCCGATGGTTTCGAGTCCCCGGTACTGTCGAACGGACAGTACCCCGCTGCCGGGCTCGCGACGGATGGCGTCGCCGCGCGACGGAACGCCACCCTGAGTTCCGCCCGGGCCAGATTCGAGCCGCAGATCATGCTGGAGAACATCAGACGCGGGAATCTCTATCCGACCAATGTCACGGCGAGGCAGAACTATCAGATGTTGTCCTGTCAAGCTCAACCATTCCTACAACGAATGTCGATCATAGGGGAATTTTTTTAAGAGTAAGATAACCCGGGGGGGAGGGGGGGAAAGACCGAGGAATCTAATGCGAGTCCATTACGGTGACTCGTAAAAGTATTTTTGATTCGCGCGTCTTTGTTGCGAGAATGGAATCGCGGGCCTGTGTGTCTCGCGTACGTTGTACATTTAGGATATATTCCTGTGATATAATTGTTGTATAGTTTCTAATAAATGTAAGACAATTGCAAGTGTTTGGTGTCTGTTTTTCACATCGGCAATTTTATTTTCTTATTTCAAGCGTAAATTTAAAAGAAATGGAAATATTAATATTTTATATTTTGTACTTTATTTGATGTTTGTATGTAAATAAATTCTCTTTCTCCGCATAACTGTAGCAATTAGTTCTGTTAACATTAAAATTTTATTATGTGCAATTCACTTTCACTTTTTATGAAAATAATCTTTAAATTTCGTAGTTGTGAAATAAGCAAAAATATTGTGCGAATTAAATTGATACAATTCATTATATTAATAAAATTGTTCATATTATTTGTTACAAAATCCTAGAAATAGAATTGTAGGATTATAAAATTCAAATAATTTTATAAGTGATTTCATTAATCCTCATCGAAGTCCTCGCTTGCTGTCGTCGCTTTTTCCTTTCCTTCCATTTTCTTCACAACTAATTCTGTATGTAATCTGTCATAGGCTTGTATGACAGATACAGTTTTTAATTTGAAGATTTAAATAAATCCGAAATCATGAAAACTTTGTTCCCATGCATTGAACCAAACTTAAATTATACTTAAATGAAATTCTTTTGAAATTCTTTAATGTTATTTATTTACTTTTCTATTAAATTAAAAAAAAATACACAATCAATCACAAGTCCCTCAGGGATAAACGAGGTACTACATTCATGGACTGCAGTTCTTGGAACAATAATTTACAAGCGTAAGGCACCGTTATCGGAGAGACGGAAGAGCTGGATTTGCATCTCTGGCACCAACTGTTGTACCCTATCAGACCGCATTTATTACAAACGTCAACTTTAAAAGCATCGCTCGATATCATGAGCCTCTCTACTAATAACATGCTAGCTCCATAACTAATTAGACAGTCACGCTCCATTTCACCCAATCGCAGACCACCTTCCCTGGAACGTCCTTCTGTTGGTTGACGTGTTAGAACTACCCTTGGCCCCCTGGCACGAGCGTGAATCTTGTCTTGCACCATATGTTTCAATTTTTGGTAATAAACCTATAAATCACATTAAATGTTATACAGAGAAACATCAAATACATTCATCTGTTTATCTACGTTATAATTATATAAAAATAAATTATTTAAAGATGTAAATCTGTTTTATTATAAATAAAAGAATTTGGAAATTTTCATTTAACTATGTAAAAGTATCTTATCTTTTAATCAAAAACAAAATTCTTACGAAATATATATATATATATATTTATATGCTTTATCTGCTATTCATTAAAAAATAAAAAATTGTGTATTTACTTATTTTTTAAATAAATTTCTTATTTAGATGATTACATCAATTTAAATAACAATCTTTTTTTATCTAAGAGAAACTTACTGGTCCAGAGTAGACATATCCTGTCAACGGTCTCCCAGTCATGCCGTCATAGAAGAGATCTTTACCCAAGTAATTAAAGCCATTTCTCGCCAAATCTTCACAAATGTCTTCCACTTTGGCATCACTAAACGCTGCAAGCAGATGAAAATAAAGTAAGATGAAAGTAAGATTAAGCATGATCAAATAGATAAGTCGTTATCTTTTAAAATGTACCTGTTGCATCATGAAATTTTCCGTTCATGACGCCAGCTTTGCTGGCAAGTACCTCTATTAGTTTGCCCACCGTCATTCTAGAAGGAAAGCCATGCGGATTCATAATTATGTCGGGACACATGCCATAGTCGTTAAACGGCATGTCTTCTTGCTCCACGATTAAACCTGGAATGGACATTGATTAAGGCCGGATTGATTAATTACGCCTTGTATTTACATAACACGAAAATACCGGGATAACTGTACCTATAACGCCCTTCTGCCCGTGGCGACTACTGAACTTGTCGCCAATCTCCGGCCTCCGAGTTTGCCTTAGTAACAACTTTACTAAAAAGGCATCGTCTGCGTTACTAGATACGATAACTTTTTCTACATACGACGGCACCAAGCCTTTATACTGGACTTCTGCGTTCCGATATTCCGTTTGTTGTTCATTGCCGAAGCTTAGGGGGGCCATAATGTCACCTGGCGCCGGGACTTGCTTATTTACCAATATCTGCATACGACACAATATTAAGTATAATGTAAAGAAATATTTAATATTGTTCAAATAATATTTAATGATCGTTCAAAAAAAAAAACCAAGAGATACTTACAGTCCTATTTTCCACCATTTCACCAGGTGCCACAATCCCGTCGCTGTCGAGTATTTCGTGCTTCGGTATAAGTTTCTTAGTATTGGCGTCTATTGACGGTCCCATGATTTTGTCGTGCTTAAGATTCTTATATTTCTTCAATATACATTTCGAGTTTCGATACACGAGACATCTGCCGTATCCCCTGTCGACGGAGGCTTTGTTGAAGATCAACGCGTCTTCGATATCGTACCCGCTGTACGACATCACGGCGACGATCGCATTCTCGCCGGCTGGCAATTTATCGAAATTAATCAGGTCGCTCGCTCGAGTTTTCACTATCGGCTTTTGCGGGTACACCAGATTGTACATCACCGTGTCGATGCGATTACGTTGATTGTATCCTATAGCCCCCATGGCCTGTTTACCCATGGCGCACTGATAGGTGTTCCTCGGGCTCTGATTGTGGTGCGGATACGGTATCAGTCCCGCGCACACTCCCAACACTCCGAACTCCGCGATCTCCAGATGCGTCGTGTCGTCGTTGATCCCGGACTCCGTGCACGCGATTAAACTGTTGTTTTCCTCATTCACATCCAAATATTCAATCAGTCCTAAACAGTTGATAAACAACGGCAGAATAATCAGACGGCTGAAAAAGAATGTGTGTATATATATGTATACAAATGTCATGTAACAAAATTAGCCTAAATTGTTTACCATAATAAAGAAAGTCCTCGAATGACAAGATATTTCGTTCAAGATCCTCCATGTGCTTTTGTTTAACAAGAGACTTTCCATTCTTGACGATGATGCACGGCCTGCACAATCGCCCGCCGTCGGTACTGATTTCAACGCACTTGTGCCGATGTTGCGTGTATATCGATACGAAACTGTTGATGTAGCCCTTCCTGCGCAGCAATCTGAACTGACGCACCAGCTTCTGATAGTTCTGCACGATGCCCACCATGATACCGTTCACGAAAACCGTGTACGTGTCCTTGTCGGTCAGCTCTTCCCCGGCGAGGGTGTAAATGTTCTCGACGCCGAGATTGAGCACCAGCTTTATTATCGGCTCCTCCGGCACCGCCGTGGTGATGTGGGCCATCAGAGCCAGGTTCTTCACCAGGCCGCAGGCTTCCCCCTCGGGCGTGTCGTTCGGGCACAGCATACCCCACTGCGAGCCCTGCAACGATCGCGGACCGGAGACCTTCCTAGTCTTCTCGAACTGGGAGTGGACTCGCGTCATCATACCGAGCGCCGAGATGTACGACAGCCGTGAGAGCACCTGCGTCACGCCATGCCTCTCCATTCTGAATCTCTTGATCGTCCAGTTGCCCGACGATATAGCGAAGGCCAGTCCGTTGGTAATTATATCGTGCTTCATGTACTTCCAGACGTCGAACTCCGCTTTTTTCATCTTGGGGATATCCTTTTTGGCCTCCCTTTTCATCTCGTAATTGAACCTTTTGAACACATCCTCGAACATCAGGGCGAGAAGGGAGCCGGCCAGTTCCAGACGTTTGTTGCCGTAATAGTCCTTGTCGTCGATCAGACTCCGGTCGGACTGCGCGTTTATGACTCTTCTGATCATCAAGGCGAGATACAGCGCCTTCGGTCTGAAATTGAAATCGACAACGGGCACGTGGGACAATACGTTCGTTGCTAATGCGTCTTTCATCTCGTCGGTCACGCGATTATTATTTTTCGAGACGTGAAATCTCATGGTCTGCCTCCGTTTGTTATTGAGATATTTCAACGCTTGGTCCTGCGAAAAGACGCCCATCTTCTGGCAATCCTCCAGACTAGCTGCAAATTTGTTCAGATACATCTCTTGCGTCCCGACCATTTGCATGATCTCCAAGTCGCTCACTATCCCCATAGCTTTGAAAATGATGGTGATCAGTATGTCGTCTTGGAACATATTGTGCCTTATGTAATATCTTCCACCTTTACCCACAACGTTCGTCTTGGTCTTCTTCTCGTGGGTGGAACTGTTGCACGCCGCGACAACGCAGTTCTTGCTGTCCTCCTCCAAAATAATCCTATTCCTAATCATTTGTTCTTGCATTAATATAACCCTTTCCTGGCCGTTTATGATGAAGTAACCACCGGGATCAAGCGGACATTCGTTCATTTTGGCTAACTCGGACTCGGATTTTTTAGTTAGCACACAGTTAGAGCTGCGCAGCATTATCGGCATCCTGCAAACATTTACAATTATATTAATGATATTGGTATCTTAATAATTTGTATTTACTACTGTAACGTTCTCGGTGCTCTTACTTTCCAATAAACTCATTTTTCTTTATTATTCGCTCATCACCTCTCACATATTCAATATCTACTAAAATTGGGGCAGAATAATTTAAATCTCTTAAACGGGATTCGTGCGGTGTGATTGGCCGATCCACGAGGTCAACCTGAACGACAGGCTTGCCTACTTGTACATCTAAATATCTGGAAGGTGAGAAAAAAAAAGTTTGCTTAGTCCATCATCCTTCACAATTGCATCATCCAAAAGTACATGACATTGCTCTTACTTTACATAAAGACGTGAATCTTCGTAGCTTTGAACATTTTCATTTGCCTTAACAATGTTCTTGATCTCTTCATTGATGAAATAGTTGAAAGAATCTATGTGTTGCTTCACTAAACTTTTGTGTCGAAGAAACGCCGCCACTAATTTCCATTGATCCTGATAATGTGTAGTGTTTAATAATTAACAATAGTTAGATCGTGTGAGCGCAACAGAAGAAATATTAGAAACAAAAATAAATACACGAATTTCAATCTATCTCAGAAATCGTGTAAGATTCCACAATACACGGTTCCTGATAGACTGAAATTCTTATATTTATTTCTGTTCCTAATATTTCTTTCATTGTGCTCAACACGGCTTTATTTATTATCCAATAGTGATTTAAAAAAAAAGGGAAAAGAAAAAAAACAAGGACATACTCCACTCGCGAACAGATCAAATTCTGCGCTTTGGGATGTATCACTGAAATATAACAATACTATATTTCAATGGGATGTTTTAATACAAGAATTCATATAACTGTCCCTATTAGTGTGCTTTTATATTTAAATAAGTCATAAAAATAAACTGGTACAAATAAATAGACAGTGTTTTTTTTATTAAGTTAATACTTTAACTTGATAAAAAAAAACACTGTCTATTTATTTGTAATGTATTTGTAATGTATTTTCTATAAAATATTAAACTGGTACAAATAAATAGACAAAGTGTTTTTTTTATTAAGTTAATACTTTAACTTGATAAAAAAAAAACACTCTATTTATTTGTACCAGTTTAATATTTTATAGACAATAAATAGACAAAGTGTTTTTTTTTATTAAGCTAATACTTTAACTTAATAAAAAAAACACTTTTTTTTACTATTTACTTGTCAGTTTATTTTTATGACTTATTTAAATATAAAAGCACATTAATAGAAACGTACAGGCACACTAATAGGGACAATTATCCTATATTTTAAAAAAAAACGACATGATTATGTATTATATTTACCTCCATTTCGTTCGTCTGTGCGTTCTTCACGATTATAAAAATTATACAGTTTATAAATTGATATTTTTCAACTGTATTCGGCAATGAAGTCATCCACGTGGTCAAAGAATTCTTCTAATCTTTCTAGAATCTAGATAGGCAGCAGCTCCCACGAGGATTATACAGCCTGTGTGTGTGCATATGTATGTGTGTGGTGTTTACAGTTTACACCCGGTACCGCAAGCTCATACTCATAGATGTATCGGTGAAAAAAGTCGAAAAAAGCATGGGAGAAGACTGAATCGTATATAACAGTCTACAATGCACGGGTAAAACGGCATTTTACGTATGGAAAAGTATGGAAATGTATTTTCTCGAATGCGTAGATTTTCGAGAATAAAGCCCCAGCGGGCTCGAAAAGTGGACTTAGTACGGACGCGCACCACAAATATGTGCGGAAAAGTGAATTTTGCTATGTAATTTGAATTCACTTCTTCAGAGGGCGTTAGTGCGCAAGGACATTTTAGCGTTTACACTCTTTTTACAGCCACCAAAGTGCTGTCATGTCCTCTCTCGGATCCTCTCTGGTTTCTTGTTTTCCTCCACCATGCTGGCTCATGCCCTGCGTAGTTACAAACGCGACGCATGTAAATAGAGTGTAATATAAATATCGCAGAACCGATAGAAACGTCATTTTTTTCGCGTTACTTCGAATCCACTTCATCATGACTGATAAAAGGCAGCACAGTTTGTCGGTGAGACAATTAAAAAGTTGTAAATGTATAACTGTATGTTAAATAAAATACAACTTTTTGACCTCGATAAGCGAAAGCGTCGCTGTATATTACATAATTACGATAGTCTTGTTCACTTTATGCAAGTCTTCAATGACTTATAACATCTGAATTTATCTGAAATGCCAAACCTAACCTAACCTCTTTCTGTTTCTTAAAAAAAATATTTGTATGCTCGCAGAAAGAAGAAATAGCGAAGCAGTTTATGCTGCCGGAGAGGAAAAGCAAAATCGCAACGTTATTAAAACAGGACGGTCAAGCGTATTGTATCTGCAGGAGCTCCGACAGTTCTCGCTTTATGATGTGAGTAAACTTGCTGAGGTATCAATGCCCAGAATCATCTTTGTCTAATCTTTGTGCATATTTGAGAGATTACGATTCCTACTTTTAATTATTCCAGAGGATGCGACGCGTGCGAGGAGTGGTACCATGGTGACTGCATAAACATAACTGAAAAAGATGCGAAGCATATAAAACAATTTTTCTGTGTTGTAAGCAAGTGATTTTTATACTTAGAACATATGTTACTGGAAGGAGAATTGAGTGCTGAACGTGAAGCCAACATCTGTGTGAGAGAGAAAGGTATAGGTTCCCAATTGACTGTAATATGCATGTGCCATTCAGCCTCCACTTTGCTCATTTTGCCTAATTTCTTATTTTTCGAAAATCTTTTAAAATAAATGAAAAACGAGGCTAAGGGGAACTGAATGGCACATACGCATTACAGTTAAATGGGAACCTATACCTTTCTCTCTCGCACAGACATTAGCTTCAGCTTGATACATGAACGGTATAGACAATTCTCCTTCCAGTAGTATATGTTCCAAGTTTTTATACAAGTGAATTTTTTTTTATCCAAGTATCAATGAAAGGCAATTCAGTGTGATTAATTTACTGCATTCAGCGTTGTAGAGAGGAAGATCCGACGTTGGTAACGCGATACAAGCCGCGCAGGACTGACCAAGACGACAGGAAGCACAGGAAGTACAAAGAGAAGGAGAGAGGACATCGATACGAGTACGACGCGCCGTGGGGTCCTAGCGTGGAGAAGAAATCGTCCAAGCGTTGCGGGGAGTGTACAGGGTGCCTACGTACGGAAAATTGTGGGAAGTGCGACGCTTGCAGGTGACGTGCGAAGGAAATGATTGGCAAGGCCGTCGTCTGTGCGATGAAGCGATCTTGCTCGTAGAATTGATCTTTGAATTTCTGTGTGTCTAGGCATCTGAAGAAATTCGGGCCTTCCGTGCGATTGAAGCTCAGGTGTATTCAACGAACCTGCCGTGTGGTGGGCGATCCGCTGAAACCTTCCAAGAGTCTCAACAAAGGGGCGAAGTTGACCAAGAGGCGGAGGAGGGATTCGAGTAACGAGAGGAACGAGTACTTGGAGCCGCCGCGCCACTGCTTCGGGCCCACGTGCACGAAGCAGTCGCGACCCGGTAGCAAGTACTGCTCCGACGATTGCGGCCTGAAGCTGGCGACGAGCAGAATCTACCAGGTGCTACCGCAGCGGATACAGGAGTGGTCGTTGACCGCGTGCATCGCGGAGCAGAACAACAGGCGCGCCCTGGAGACCGTGAGGAAGCAGCAGCACGACGTCCGCAGGATACTGCAGGAACTCGAGAAGAGGCACGTCGAGTTGGATCGTATTGTCGAACGCGCGAAGCACGCCTCCATCGATCCGCAAGCCGAAGTGGACGACAACGACGACACGGAGAGCAGCATGTATTGCATCACGTGCGGCCACGAAGTTCACTCGAGAACCGCCGTTAAACACATGGAAAAGTGTTTCAATAAGGTATTAACAAAGCGCGATATATGAAAAGCGTACGGTTCTGTCGGTAGCGCTTGGATTTACGAGTTTCTAATGGGAGCGTTTTTTTTTTATGTAAACTTAAAATATTGTATGCATCTTTCCTGATTTTACTTAAGTTAACAATGGCTCGTTTTATGAAACGCGAGTTCTTCTTTTTCCGCGAGATTGAAAATGCTTATTCAACTTGTAATTTTCAGTACGAATCGCAAGCGTCCTTCGGATCGATCTTCAAGACGCGCATCGAGGGCCAGGTGATGTTTTGCGACTTTTACAATCCCGGGAACAGGACCTATTGCAAGAGGCTGCGCGTTCTCTGCCCCGAGCACTGCAAGGATCCGAAAATCGGCGACACCGAGGTGTGCGGCTGCCCGTTGGTCACGAACGTGTTCGACGCCACGGGCGAGTTCTGTCGCGCGCCCAAGAAGAGCTGCGTGAAGCACTACATGTGGGAGAAGCTGCGACGGGCGGAGATCGACATGGAGAGGGTGCGGCAGTGGCTGAAGATCGACGAGCTCGTGGAGCAGGAGCGGCAGATCCGGTCGAACATGGCGACGCGGGCCGGTGTACTGGCTCTGATGTTGCACTCCACTTACAATCACGAGCTAATGGAACAGATGACGCACGAGCAGAGCAGGCAACAGCTGCAGGCGATGGAGGAGGAGCTACAGAGGAGATACGGGATGCATCAGAAGGAACAGTGCATGGAGTAGCGATCTCTACTTTGTCATACTTGACTAATATACCATTACTAGGTTTTTGTAACTTTCAGCTGCACTTACCACTTTTTGTATTTTCTCTTCTCTTTCTTTTTTTTCTCCGACGGTGAATGTGTTTCACAATTAAAGGATGAAGAACGTAAGAAAGTGCAGCTAAACAAAACGGACTCAGTGTTAGTGTTACTTCGATATAATGTTCGTTTCGAACTGATTACGCGTAGCACGGTCGATAGTTTTCCTAACAATTGTCGATGTAATCAATCGCGGACTGAGAGAACAAAAAAGTTGAAAAGCTACAGAAAGTCGGTAGAGTGATTGTAAACGTGTATGTACTGTAATGTAATGTGCGTATATATGTATATTATATTATGTACCTGTTAAAATGCTAAGATAATTCCACATGATAAATATGGTTCCTTTAAGTCATTTTTGGAATAAATATGCACGAAGTCCAAGTACGTTTTGATACATTTTATCTCTTGTTTAAAGGAAATGTGTGAGAAAAGAATATCTGCTAACGTGACATCCGGTCTATCGTAATCGTACTTACGCTCGATCGAACGTCCTTCGATTAGCCTGAAGAGAAAACTGAAGAGTCTCTCCAAAATGAAAAAAAAAAGTGGTGTGCAACAGATGGAGAAGCAGGTGTTTCTTTTTTTCGGCAATATTTCGTTATTATTTACATTATGGTATATCGAGATGCAGACGTCAGGATTTTTTTTTCCACACACTCCGACAATTGATCGTTTCAACAAAAACCATTTATTCACAGGTCGTAGCCTCTGCGGATGCAAAATAACACGCCAAACTAGCGATCTATCGCTTAGCTTCGGAAAATAATCGCGCGAAGCGCAATAGAATGGACATATTTTGTTTTTTTTTATCCTCTCAGGAGAACCGCCTGTTTCGAATCGCCTCCCCTTAAACGCGCTATAAATGACCGCGACCGCTTGCCGAGACCTTCTTTGTCGTTGACGCGCGATTGCCGGGACGCTGTTGTCGTTAGTTACAGTCACTTTTTTTTGGGAGTTTACGTAAAATGTCAAAGAGACAATAAGTATCATCCTCTGTCTGTGGAACTGAGACTTTTGTCGCTATCTCAGGACACACTTTTTTTAATAGCTAACACCGCTTTACTCGCAATATATCTATATATAACAAACAATAATATAAACTTATTATTAACTTGCGATGCAACAATTAGGAACAAATGTGTCAATGCGATGGCAGTACGAAGCTAACGCGTCCGGATGTCCGTACAAATTATGCGATGAAAGTTAACCGTCTAACGTCCGTTTCTATCAATCCAATTTTTAATCTCGGTTTAATTTGGCCTATAGGTTTAATTTACTCTTTCTAATTCTTAGAAGTAGAAAAAGGAAAATAAAAAGTAAGTTAAACCGGGATTAAAGTTAATTTCACATTGGTGGAAACGCACGTAATCCATGTAATCTTAAACTAATTGTTTCGCGATGAAGACCGCGATCGCCGATCGGAAAGAAGAACCGGATAGGCCACGATGGGTATTTATCGATCGTCGAGTTCTCGTGTTCAGACAAGATTCGAGGGTGCGTGTGTACCGGAAACAAATTATATTACGCGAATCAAAACGGATAATTTGCGACTCGCTTTAAGGGACCGGGTTGAAAACAGGCGACCATATCCCGAACATATATATTATTTTATATACGTGCGCCGGTTCTCACATCGTACGTGCACTGCGCTTCAAAAAGGAGAAAGGACGAAGAGAGAAATATAGAGAACGACTCATTCTTTTTTCTTTTATCACAGTATTGCACGCAAAGCTTGTACGAAATCGCAAGTAAGACAGCATAAAGGCCAAATGGCGGACACTACACGCTTTCCTCTCATCAAAGCACACATCCGGGGAGGGTCGGAATTCTGTTTCGCAGAAGTAGCGAAATGTTTTTATCCACTCCCTCGTAACTCCCTCACCTCTCTCTCTCTCTCTTTCTCTCTCTCTCACGCTTTCTGCCGCTCTCATTCATGCACACTTCAACATATTCTTTCGCATTCCATGGCAACGATTCCGAACGACCTTTCACATTCGTGGTCCATGATAGCTTCGACGTACATCCGACAAGTTAGTAACAAAATAATAAGCCACACGTGTAACACACGTGTGTTGTGTGTGTGAATACATCACCTGAGAATAAATCGTGATATATCTCTTCGCCTCCTTCGTAACATAAATCTCTTCGGATTTCCCCTCTCCCCTCCTCCTTCCCCCCTCTCCCGCTTTCTTCTCGTTCAACATTACAATTTTCCCTCTCGTACGGTATAGTGCCTTAACAATCTGTCGTTCAACGGAAAAATATAGCGCGCGGGCGAGGTATTACGCTGTCTTGTCCGGGCCGGATGGCTTCGACGTCTTAACATTAACATCCTAGTGCAACGTTAATCTCCTTACGAGAGAAGCCTCGGAAGAAAGTCGCCTCTCTCCGGATAATTCTGTGGCACCGCATACAGGGAGAATCGCCGAGAGAATCGATACTCTTGAGCGATCTGTCGATACAGATTTGCACGCGGAGTTTCGATTCCGTTGCCGGAAAAAAAAAAGAGCAAATTGAAAGCTGCAGGATTCCGTTGCCGTCAAGCCAAAATTAAGCGGACGAAGACGAAGATTTTACGAGCGAGTTTCTTCTCTCTTCGTGCAGCTTCAGCCGCGTCGCGAAATTTCGAGAGGAGAAAAAAAAAAGAGGGAAAGTCCAGCGCGCCGGATTTTCATTTCATTAAGAACATCCCCTCGCCGCTGAAACCCGTTGCGCCAATAATGTTCGGGTTCTAGATTGCTATCAAATCCTTTACCTTCCAGCTTCTTTCCTTCCACTGCTGTCCTTTTCGCTCGTGCGAGCGTCAAGGTATTGTTGCTCTTTCTTTTTTTCTGCCCTTCTCCTCGTGACGTTTTCCATCAGAAGCAGCTATTACTCTCTTCTTTCGTTGCTCTTCAAATTGGGCGATTAGATCTGGATAATCTAGATTTTCTTCTGGCTCCCATGTATTCTCATCATTGGAATAGCCTTTCCATTTTAGGAAATATTCGACTTTTCCTTTTTTTTTTTTACGACCCTTCTGTCCAAGACTTTTTCTTCACTGAACTCCTCTTCCGCCTCATTATCAGTCGGAGGAGATTCTTTTACTTTTACTCATTGTGAGTTTAGGTACTGAGTTTCTACGTCCAATAGCTTGAAATCGCTCTAAAATCTCGAAATCTCTCGCCTATCCTTAACTCCCCCCCCCCCTTCCACGCCCGGAAAGGCGACGAATGCGGCTTTTGATTTTGCCACCCCGGGACGAAGCTCTCGCGGCCGATGCGATACGACCCGACAATCGGACATCAACTGTATGTATATACCTCGCACACGCGAAAGGGGGAACTTTGGCAACAAACACACACTCGCATCGTTAAGGTTTTTGCAGCTGGACAGCACAGCCTTTCACGCACGCACGCAAGATTCGCAAGTTCGACACGTACACGCGCAATCTCTCCCTCTCACACACACACACACACTTTACTCGCTCTCCCATTTATTATCTCACTAATAATAGCGGCATTAATTGTAATCTTAATTGGATAAATTCTGCCGTAGCGTTGGTAATAATCATACAATGTTTTTTTTTTATCATACAGCGTCGTATGTACAATACGAGAGGAGAATCGTTTCGTTATCGAGTAACAAATTGTACAGCGGCGCGGGACTAGCGGGGGTCGAGGCCGATTTCCCTCGAGACCGATCGGGGAGGGTACTTTTGCCTCCTCCGTTTCTGCGCGTCCCGTCCCGGAGGAGAGAAGCAGCCAGCTGCGCGTAACTATCTCCCGAGGTAGCCGCGGCAATCGGCTGCCGAGCGAGCGATTAACGACAACTGAAGAGCCGGAAGAACCGGCTGAACAGGGCGAAAGGGGAAGCATCCGTGAAAATTAAAGGGGATCGCTCTCTAAGCAAAACTGGGCCAGACTCGAGCGGAAAGAACATCTCGGGACGAACACGCGCTGCTAAAACAGATTTCGCTGTAATGAATGATCATGCAGATCGACTTGAAAGAAAAATAAACATATATTTATTTCTTCTCATAAACTTAAGCTTCTTATAAACAAAAACAGTGGTAAGAGGTGAAGAGGCTGTCGGGGAGAGCTATGCGTATAGAATATAGATAATCGTAACGTAGTTTTCACTTTTTGCGATTTTTCTCTTTGTCTCGTGTTTGCTCGCGTCGTCTCGCCTCATTTTCTTTCTCTCGAGTTGCATCTACTCGTCGTTAACCGCCTGATCGCGCGATGCCAGATCAAAGGGACAAAAGTGAAACCCAGCCGGTCCGCAACGAACGTCCGTGCGCGTTTCCGCAATACGCGTGTGTATGTCCATCGAATGAAGAAAAAAAAAAAGAAACGTTAAGTAATTATGTATACTCTACATGTGCGACACAGGCTGGCGTAGCTGCCATCCCACACTCGCTATATATATGTACACTGTTAAATGGTCCTAATCTTCCTTCTCCCTCCTTCTTTCTTTCCTCCGCTCAAGTCCTTCTCCACAAGTACATTTGCACTAGTCTTCGCGAACTCTTTTTTTTTTTATCACTTAGCCATTTGAACCGGTCAACATGGCACAGGCTGAAACTGCGTTCAGTTGCATTTAAGGCGAGTGGAGCACCTGACTCTGTTTCTTTTTTTTTTGTGTATGTGTTTTTGAATTGTAGATTTCTTCACGTGTCGAGGTAACTCGGAAAAAAGCAGGGCGGGAGGGGAGGAGGTTTCCACGTCCACGTGCGGAGAGCAACGCCGTGCTGCTCGAGCGATTTTCAGTAAAATTAACAACCGGTGTACCGCGAGACCGTTCACTCAGTATGCAGCGTGTCGAGAGGTGCATTTACGTGTGTAAAATAAAAATAAAACGGAAACAAACGGAAGATAAAAAAGAACAAAAATCGTGCAATCCAGTGCATCCTCCGTGGGAGTAACATACGTGGGGGGGAGGGGGAGGGGAGGAATCCGGAAGAAACACGAGGGGAAGATAGAAAAGAAAGTTCTCTCTCGGTCGAAGAAGTGGAAAGGCGGCTCTCGCGATTACACTTTTGGAATGTAACGTCGACACTGGCAACTGACTGTATAAAACATGATAATTGAGAGGGGAAAAAAAAGAGAGGGGTAAGCTAAAGGCGTGTCCGGACGTCTGGTACAGTCAACGTAACGTCGGAAAACGCGATATTTTCCGCGAAGTTGCTTTAAAAAGGAAAAAAAAGAGGGAAAGAGGAACGAAGGGAAAGGGGAGACACTTCGTCAAGTCCATAACAGATATTTTAGCTGCGAACTACGGTCGTATCTCTTTTTTTTTCCGAGTTACTCTCCGATATGCGCGATAAACGCTTGCGTCGTACAATTAAATATCTCGATTTTCTCGCTTATCTCGAAAGCTGTACTTCCAGCTGGAACTATCTCCTATATACTGGACAAAAATGAAAATTATCAACGGAGCACGGCTATCTTTTTTTTTCGTTTTTACACAATTTTGATATTTTCGCAAAGAAAGAACGATATATAACAAACTTTACCAATTCTAAATTCATTAATTAATAATTAACTCGCGTTATAATACTACATACAAGTACACTTTCATACTTCCACTGTGAAACTTATCTCTGTGATTTACCTATGAAGGCGATAAGTTTCCACGACTCGCTTCCCATTCATTCTCTCCACATAGATATATGAGACTGCTGTACGAAGGTTTTTTTTTTATATTCTCGTGTAGAACGACACGATTTCGCAATGTTATAACAACATGTTAATAATTAAATCATTATGATTATTAGAATGTGTTTACGCGCCCCGGCGAGAGGCGGCGTCGCGAAACGAGCTGAAAGCTTGTAACTAAAATGTTAGCTTCAAACGCAAAAGGATATTATTTAATCCGTATTTAGTATATTTGGAGCACGATACCGCGGACCTGCAGTGTCCCCTGAGGTTACAGAATTCATTGACTTACATTTAAAAACCGTATAATTACAGTAGTTAAAAGCGGCGTTACATGCGTTATTTTACTTCTCTTAGGCTCAATTTTTTTTATATATTTTTTTTTAGGCATTTACAGGCATACGAATTTTTAAGATACGGCTTATATATCTTTTCTTTTTATCTCCAGTTAATTTTAAAAGATCCACCCGTATATATACTTCCGTATATACATACATTATATATTACAGAGCGTTATATGCTTTCATCTACAGACGTGCTTCATTCGAAAATGCGTAACGCGTTTCAACGTTTTCCTTCTTACGCCTGTAAATCAATGCCTCGGAAAAAGAAAGAAAAATGCAAGAGAAACCCCCGCGCGTTCCGGATAATCGACGGAAACCCGTCGTTCGTTGGTAAGACACGCTCGACGAAACGGAAGCTTAGGAACTGGGAACGTATCTCGCGTGTAGAGCTTTGATGAAAGTCAAGCTACAATTAATGAGCAAAATGATACACAGTAATACAGTGGACAGCACACGGATTATCTTTCCCGGGGCAATGCCTCCCTCCGCAATCGAACAGCAATCTCACTCTCACGATCACCCGACACACAGTCTAACACGAATTTACGCACACGCGCCATTCATACCAAAGTATTTTTTTTTTTTTACTGATCACAAGCATCTTCTTATAATTATCATTATGAATAATTATCAGTTACTTTTTTTTTTTTATTAAATAAGCAAGTCTGTGTAAAAATTTAACGTTTTTTTTTTTCAATACATTCAGCATTCTATCTTCACAGACATTTGACCAGACTTTGAGCTTACTTTGACATTTTCGAAACTCAGTTAGTGACCTTTTTTTTTTCCCGTTACTATTTTAAGCTATCGAATGCTCCACGGCTGGAAGAAGTAGCCACTCTGAGTTCTTGTAAGTCAACCACACTATTTCAATATATTACAACCGCGCATTTACATTTCTCTGATTTACAGTCCGCACATCTTAATTTGCATTTATCGAGTAAAGTACGATATTCTGACCTTCGTCATATTTCGACTCACCGATCATAACTCGCCGATTCATGATCTTCCATGATGATCGATTTAAGATCGTCCCCCGTTCACGAGTTCGAAACTACTTACAGATGTTTCTTTTTTCTTTTTTTTACGATACTTCTCATAGATTTCTCGACTCGATGTGTGATTTAGTGCAGGCTCCTTCAATGCTTCCCCGTTGATTCGCCTAAAGATTCGCAGCTCCAAAGGCACCAGGAGATACCGCTGTTGATGCGCGAGACTTCTTCCAGACTCGCTTCGGTGGTACGACCTGGTTATTACATAGTCCATATCTTTTGTAGCTCTTTCTTTTAAGCACTTCTTTTAAAATCATACACCCATATAAATCAAGACAATCTTTAAAAATTTATAGAGATGTCTGACGTATGTACACGCGTGATTCAACACGCTAAAAGTTCCCTTTATTTAAAGAAACAGAACAAATCTGTTTCTTTCTCTCTCTCTCTCTCTCTTTCTTGAGAAAGAGATATTTTCCGACCAAACGTTCCTAATTGTCAATACTGAAGTTCTGCGACACTGTCACAATCGTTGGAAATTTACGCAAGTACAATGTACATTACTGGAATATACACTTCATCCATTTCCTCCATTCTCTCCGTTTTTGTTTGACTGATTTTATATGTACATTGCTATTATTATCTCTTGAGGCACACTTTGCACCACTCGGCTCCATCAATCTTGCGCGTTGACTCAGCGTTTGACTCGAAAGAAGTAAGACAGGCGGATCCTCCGAGCGAGCATTACGTCTCGCGAGAGGAGCAACCGTGCGCGCAACACACAGAAGTATCTGGTCTCGCAGATCAACGCGGATCGAGACTCATCAAACTAGCTATTTGTAATGGAAGTGATTTACCAGTACAAAAGTTACTGTCATTTCCTTCGGCGTGTCGAAAAACTTTCTCACTTCACTGTCCGCTGTAAAACTGTATACGACCGGTCGTCATACCGGGCATTTCCCTCATGACAGCATCCCATGCTATTGACAGAAAAAAAAAAAAAAATCAGAGTGAGTAAAGATGGCAAGAATAGAGCATTTGAGTTAAAGATGACAAAAAAACTATACGGTGTGTCTTACCTAAGCCAACGAACGACACGATCTTATCATGGTTGTACGTCTGCACGTTCAGCTCTTCCTCGGGCGCTACGTAAAGCATCGAGAAATCCTCCTTAGGCGGATGAAACTTTTCCATGATCCCGGGCGGCGGCGGGGGCGGCGGTGGCAGATATGTGGGCGGCGCGAATCTGGTGGCGGGATAGCTCATGTACGGCAACGGTTGCACCATGACCGGATGCACGGGATGGGCGTTCGCCGGTGCCACGGGATGAGCGTTCGGCTGCTGCATGTGATAATTCGAGGAGAACTTGTCGTATCGCACGGGTTTCTCGGCGAACAACGGCGGATTCCTCTCGAAATTGTTGCCGGGCGGCGGCTTGTTGACGAGCGGCGGCGGTACGGCCGGGGAAAAAACGGGATTCGATGGCGCGATCGTCGGGGTTTCCTCGTTGCCGTTGTCCTCCGAAAGCAGCAGCTCGTTTATCTCGAAGCCGAACGTGAGCTCCGTCGGCAGATTGTTGTTCTTCGCGATGTCCGAGGAGGTCTCGTCCAGCAGGATCACCGCGGGTCTGGGTGTCGAACTCTTCTGCTGCGCCTCCGCGGACGACCTGTGCGACTGGTCTTTATCGGGCTGCGCGTTCTGCGACTTCGCCTTCTTGCTCTCCGCGCTGTCGTCGCGCTGCTGATTATCTTGCTTCGAGCCTTGCGGCTGGCAGACTCCGACTTTCGTCGCATCGTGCTTTATCGCGGTGCTCTGATACTCCTTCGTAACCCTAACTGTCCTCGGAGGATCGCCACCACTGGTCGTCTTACTGCCGGATTCAGGTTCGACGCTCTGCGAGTCCTGCGGAGGTTTCGTGGTCTTCAACTTCTGCGCGTCTGCATCGTGCAACGCGATTGTTGGGTTATTAGTCCTGCTCTCGGATTGCGGGATGTCGATACTATGCGATTTTTTAATTGCCTCCTCGTGATAAGAGGGCTTTTTAACGTGTTGTTCTTCGTGGGATCCCTGAGGTTGTACAATTGGATTACTGTGTACGTAATTCCTACGAGAGCGAGGATTGTTGGCTCGTGGAAGCGTAGCAGAATCCTTGTTGACGGTGCAATTATGATTGTTATCGATATCGACTGGATTGTAATTCATCGTTGTACTATTATTATTATATCTTGGCGTTACGGCGTTCGTCGCGGTAGTCTCGTTTGAATTTGGGCTGTAATTACTACAAGTCGCGCTCTTCTGCTCCTTGTTTTCCGTGTTCGCTTGCGTTAGGCTTTCGTGCATCTTCTCGATTTCTTGCACATATTTAAACACCTGGATGTTCTTATTGATGGCCTCTTCCTGAGCTTCGGCTTTCTTTCGGTCTGACGAATTCTTCATCTTCGCCAGGGTCGGCGAAAGTGGTTTTTCGAAAGCCAGACCCAAACTCGCTGCTGCATGGTTCGACTGAGCCTGCTGCTGCCTCGCTTTCCTGTCCGGATGCTGCAGCTCGTCTAGACTCGGATAGTAATCCTGAGGCACTTTATCCGGTTCCGAGAGGGTCTTAGGCGGAACACTCGGCCACGTTGACGTGTTTAGTATGGCGGACATGGTCAGGTTGTGCGACATGTGTGACATGTTGATAGTAGCCATGCGCGCTATGTCCGCGTAACTCGCCTGCGGAGTGCCGCCCGACGATATTGCGACTTTGGACAAATTGTGCTTCGAGGTGTTCGACGTAACCGGCAACGAGTGGACTGAATCCAAATCGCTACTATCCGCCGACTTGTCGCTGCAAGAATCACAATGTTTGTTTCAATATTAAAATCGAATTAAGGCCGAATTATTTGTTATATATATACATGTACATATATGCAGTTATTTGTCTAATTACCTCGGAGGCATACTGCTAGCCGATTTTCTTCGGAGTTCAGGAGAAAGAGGTGTTCTGTAGTCGTTGGAGAATCCTCTGGAATTCTGGAGATACGATCCTGATGTCGTCAGGTTTTGCGCCCTGCCGCCACTGGAGCTTCTTCTCTGTTTCTTGCTCTTTTTCTTCTTCGTAACTACCAGAAACTCCGTCTCGTGTTCCGATTCTGGATTAATCTTTTTGTTGGAATTACGACGGCTCATGTAATCCTCTCCCGTGTCGTTGCAATATATCGATTGGCCTTCCTCTGTCCCCCATGATCGCCTGTCGCCTCGACTATCGACTGTCGTATCTCCGGTGCTTCTTTGTTTTGGACGTCGCAATGCTATATTTACGTCTAAAACCACAGTAGAATATTAAGATACATATACAAATCACATATAAAAGTTTAATATATACACGTGTATATATAAATCTTACCCTGTTGGCTGGATACGCTACTGGCACCGCTGGAACTGGCGCTCTTCTCTGCCGTGAGATCCTCTAATTTTGTCTTCGAGATCTCTTCCAGGGAATTGGATTTCTTTAACTTGGAAGGCAACTGTTCTCTCTTCGTATCCTTCTCTCTGGTTCTCGGTTTTGTGCCGGAGCTAGTTTTCACTCTAACGGGATTACCGGTCTTTCCCTTTTTGCTCTTGGATTCTTTGTTTTCGATGAAGTTAATTAGACTGTCGATATCATCGTTACGATGGCCCTCGACATTTTCGGCATTGTAAACTTTGACGTTGTGTTCCTGAGTGTGTTTCCTTCTCGGCTTCTTCCGTTCACCGTTATAGGTCTGTACAGCGTTTCCGTTTTCGTCCAACGATTTCTTCTCCCCGGACACGGATGGATCCTTCATCGTGATGTGTTGCGTTGCGTATCTTGGTCCTTCTGCGCATAAATCACGTATTCCACTAATAAATAATTCTATTTACTTTGACACTTGAATAAAACGCACGTACGTTTTTAATATATCCACATAGAAAAATCTTTCAAAAGTCTAATACATCAGGCATCGCATGCAACCAATGTGTGTACATATAATTAAAGTAAAGTATTATTCTTACCCATTGTTATATTCTGCGTTTGCCAAGACGTCGGCATCATGGAGCATAAACCAGATAGCATTTGTTTGTTCTGGCTAGTGCTGGAGCCATTTGAAGCCCCACCTATGCCACACTTTACGCTGTTGTGTGGTTGAAACAGTGCCCCCGTTACATCCGTACCGTTAACAGACATTTTTGATTTCTCTTGCTTATGATCACGTATAGGAAACTCTATGGTGGTGTCCACAGGCGTCTGTGTTATATCGAAAGTTGCCCGTGTGACATAATGGATCGGTTTGCGCGGTTCAATAATTTTCAATTCGGTCCCTTCGTCATTTTCAGTGTCTAACGAGCGAGGCCTCTGAATTCCACTCGCCGTAGACCCCACATTTCTTTCGCTGATAGCACCTACCTGCAATACATAGACAAAAATAGTAACTCTCTTAAATATTATTTTTCTTTATCTCTCTTTGTTCTCTTTTCAGCTGAACTAAAATATTTTCTGTGTCAAATAGAAAATAATCTTTCTCATTATTAAAATAGATCGTTCGAAACCGATGTCAAAGTATAAGTATGGGACCCACACATCTACGTAAAAATATAAAAAGACGCACAACAAAGATATATATAGAATGGCTTTTAAAATGCCTCTAAGAGGTTAATGATCGAGGAGAGATAAATTACCGCAAATGATATTACCTCAACGTAAATGACTTTACCTCAACGTCGCCCAAGTCGATGACCATGTAATCCGATTTGTATTCCGGGGGTGGATTATCTGACTCCAGCATCTCATTTGTTCCGTATTTTCCTTTGTTGACTCGTTTCTCTCGTGCTTCGGGCTCTGCCTCGCCTGAACTACTAGCGGTGTCTCTCTTCAATTCCTTCTTTTCCTTCTCCTTTTCTTCTTTCTTTGTACTGGTATATGACGGTTTGTCTAGAGACTTGGATTTTTCCTTATTGGTCCAGTCGTAGGCTGATCGTTCCTCGCAGAAGCTCTTCTTCGCAGAGAGATAAAAAGAAATTGTCAATGTATTGATTACGTTTAAATTCTCACTGTTCATAATCTCATAATCAAAATGAAATATATCTTTCAAATGTATATTATATATAATTCATTATCCTCTAGTAAAACAAAGATTTGTATTTATGAATCTCATTAAGTGCATGTTAATTCTAATGATAAATACCTTTTTATCAAATATTAGATCTAAATTAGCCAAAGAAGCAAGGTTATGCGATGCGTTTACATTCGACGGTAACGATCCACCTTCTCTCTGTCTGGCAGAGACACTGGGCCCCGTGTATTTTTTGTTCTTTCTCCTACTGCTTCCGTAAGTGTGACACGAACTGGATGTCAGATAAGCAAAACTACTGTCGAATTCCGAAGCTATGGGCTGTGCTAAATTTTGCAATGAACCGCCATGTGTCAAACGCTCGGACACGGACTCCCGTTTGTGTCTTCTGCGATTTGAGCCCGGAAGACAGCGTGAATTAGATATCACCCTACGGCCTTCCTCAGTCTCATCCGCTTCTGCTTCTTGCAAAAGTTCCTACAAAGTACAATCGCTCTATACATCTTACCCTTAACGTAATAATCACAATGGCATTTCTATATTCAGCACACATTTTATATTTCAGCAATTTCTAAGTACGTACTTTAAAAAGATTAGACTTTCCTTCCCGATCTTTCGGACGCTTGTATGTTATAGCTTCATCCAGTAAAGCGCGTAACTCATTATCATTCAGCATAGACAGGGTTGCTGGTTCTTCCTAAAAAAAAAAAAATGAAAACAATTGAAAAACGTTATTTATGTAACATTGCAGAGATTGCACTAATTACATTTTTGTAGAAATTAACTTTTCTCTTAACTTATGTTAGATGAAAAGAAATATCTTTTAAATAAAAATTATCAAGTAAATTATGATCCTTTCTAAGATTCTCCTCTATTTGAATAATATCTAGTATTTAGAATCCTATATAAAAAATACATTGTAAAAAATGTGTATCATATTCATTGTTGCAACGTTAAAACAATTTTGCGATGGGAATTGGTTCGCATGTAAGTTGAACAGGAATAGATGTATTGGTAGAGAGAGAGTGAATTTAAGGTTTCTTTTATTGGATCTGTGTAAGCTTATAGCAACCACATTGTGAGAAGCGTAAAGATATATATATATATATATATATATCTTTTCTACATATACTTATATATACGCGTGGCATTTCCAGAGCGTTGGACAAACAATCGATCTAAAGTAATTCGGTCGAGCTACGACATTCTTAACAAGGCTCTCTCTTCATTAATACGCCGACATAACCAATCAACTTGCAGTGCGAGCGAACGAAACGGATTTCGCGTGGAACGTATACATACACGTACACAGTCCCCGCATACGCGTATGGCAATGCTATCAAAAATAAAATGTGCCGAGATACGCGCGTCACGTTTATCGCGTTATAACCGACTAAAAATCTAGATTTCATCCAGCTGCAGTTATACCGGGCGCGCGAGGAAGTGCGGCAGGCGCGCACCGTATTCTCGAGCGCTCCGGGACGCGGAGTTCGCGCGTTCGTTCGGCGCACAAGAAATTTGATAGTGTCCGAAAAAGAGGGCCGACGAGGGGGGACAAATACGCGAGGGCAGGTTGAAAAGGCGAACGGCGGGGACGGGACGGCGGGGCGAGACGGCGGCGCCCGGTGGAGCAGATGGAGATGCAAGGGGAGGCGAGGGGTGATCTCAGGATAAACGATACAACGTACTTGGTTCGGCGAACTCGCGAACGTTCAATGACATGACGGGAATCGTCACGGAGTCCCAATTTCTTATACGGGGTGTCTCGCGCGCGCGAAAGAGAGACGGGGACGGAGGAGGAACGATCGACGGACGATTTACGCTTAGCGAGTCGGCGATCGTCGTCGGAGGGGAAGGGGGGATGATGCGGAAACCGCTGAGCCCGATCCGTGAGCCATTTGTGAGATCGATAGCGCTCCAGTGATTAGCTAATTAAGACGTGAACTCCGAGGGACGGGGGAGGGAGGAAGAGAGAGAGAGAGAGACAGACATACAGAGAGAGAAAGAGAGAGAGAGAGAGAGATAGAGCGATATCGGAGTGACTTACGATGAAAGATGGTGGAGAAAAAAATCCGCTGTGCAATGCCGGCACGGAATTTGTATTTTTAGAGAACACACGGACGGCCGGGCTCGCTCGCTCGCTTCGAGATCGCACTTTCGCGACTCGGTCGACTTCGCGGTCGCGCTTTTCAACACGCGAGCGGACGAACGTCGCGCATCCCGGAGGCCCCGGTGGACAGCGTGCTCTCGGGCTAACGTGCACGGGGAAAGGGGGGGAGTGGAGGGCGGCGTCGTCGCCTCTGCGAACGCGGATGCAACAACAACAACGTCGTCGTCGTCGTCGTCGTCGTCGGCCGATACGACGAGTCCCGGTTTTTGAAAGCTACTGCGACGAGCGGGCGCGGCGCGCTCTTCTCAGCATGGCCGCCGCCATTACACTGAGAGCACTGCCAGCCCAGGGACGTAAGAAGGCCGGGGGGGCGCCACGCGGCCACACCGAAATAGCTCTCGTTCTGCTCCTTTTCGCTCTCTTTCTCTCCCGTCGATAATTTGCGAAGTGAGAACGGAGCGGAAACAAAGGAACGACAAAGTGCGCGTTTCATCTCGATTTTCAGCGCGAGGATTTCGAGAGACCGGCCTGATCGAGCCTCGCTGGACGACTCGGGCGCCGCGGAGTAGGAAAAAAAATCTTGCCGTCGATCGTCACGTTCTCGCCCGTCGTCGTCGCGGGCGAGATACGCGTGTAAAGAATTGTTTTTTCCCCGGCGACGAAATCTGATTTGTCATGCGGAACGGGACGGCACGTTCCTTACGCGCGACGATCACGCGTGCGTACTCCGGGTAGCCCTCTGTTTGGGAGGATCGTGTGCGTGTGTACGATTAATACGTATAATCGTGCACGCGATAGTTATCCAGGATTGAGAATCAGACTCGATCGCGGACCCTAAGTATACGTGGGGCGCCGCGCGCGAGTGCCCTCATCGCCTTTGTTGAATTCCGACGACGTTAGCGGGATACACGTTAATGGGATATCCCTTTCTTCCGGCAATCTCCGATCGGCGTCAAGCCGCGGTATATAATTATAGCGAACGAACAACGAACGCTTAAATGTTCCAACACACTCACATTCGTGTTTGCTAATTGTTTGCTCCTCTTCTTGATTAGGTATATCGAATATCAATATCCGACTTCGACTCGGCATGTAACAATTGAATCGTACGACATTTGTGCAACAAATAATAACAACAACGAATGTTCGCGTTCTCGGAGTTTGTTTGCAAAGATATATCTGGATTAAGGGTTATAGCACGCGTAATGTAAGCGGAATAAAACTTGAGCGGCGAACGAATCGAACAATCGGAGATAAAAATTTTAAAATGTACGCTGTTAAATCTATTGTATCAAATTGAACTTTATTTAAGTCGCTACTGCCCCTACTTAATAAATAGTTATTTTTAACTAAAACAATACAGTTACTTTTAAATAAAACAATAGAATTTAACTCAAATTTTGGTTAAATTTGAACTGTTTTAAATTATTTAACTTCACTGTTTTAGTACAAAATAATTATTTATTAAGTAGGAGCAGTGGCGACTTAAATGAGATACAGTTCAACACTATAGATTTAACAGTGTAGCCTTACGTTTTTGACGATTTTCAACTGCGATTGATTCGATGCGTTCATTGCTCAAGCTTTACCGCTTACATTTTTTTTTCCGTGTGCTCTTACGCGAATCGCGGGTCCAACGCTCACAATCAGCGTTGTTCTCACTCCCGAGATGTGCCCACGTATACATATAATAATACGGAGGGCGAGACTCGACAAACGCCCGTCGTCAATGGCTGAAATGCGCAAGGGACGCTAACTCCCGTACGTGTGGCGAAACGCGCGCGTCATTTTTCGCAGAACGTTACTCGAAAAATAATAGCGTAATCGACGGCACAAAACGTTCGCGAGCGAGCGTTCTAGAGTTTATCGGCTGATGAATCACGTCGAGATTAATCCCGCCGACGCCACACGTTGGAATCCAAAATAATGAAAAGCCAAGTTTTTTTGCCGTGTCATTCCTTCCGGCATGATGTGTAGCCCGCACTCCACCGCGTTCATGTTTTCCTTTTTCTCTTTTAAACAAACCTTCATCGTTTTCGCACGAATGACTCATATCGCCGCTGTGTCTTTTTCTTTTGGAGCATGTGAGTACTTGATTTTTAACTTTTTTTTTTTTACCAAAAGGTCACGGAAGACAATAATGCGCGGGTCGAATCGCGGCGGGGTATCTTAACCCGCGCTTAAGAGGATCGAGAATTGAAAATCGATATAGACTCGACGAATTCGAAATACGTTTTTTTTTTACTCCTTCGATGTTGCAAATGCGAGAAAATGTGCACGGAAGAAAAAGATGTATTAACAGCACAATACAGATGAAAGTAATCTTATTAACTCAATATATATATATATATATGAAACAAATACGTCGTGCGCTCCTGTTTTAATGAAGTAAATTATTTGTTTCATTAATACCGTTGTTAGCGTAACAAGATTAGTCTCAATTAAACTGTCAGTCGTTGATACAACATCATCGTGTGCTTTACGCCAAATGTCACGGATACTAAACAAAATTATTATTATTATTTTTTTTTGGTACTTCGAAGCAATCAAAGAGGAAAAAGAAACTTTCGGGAGACTCGCAGGGATTACGTACACCTCGGATCGCAAAGCCGATCTTGAGGACGATCGCTGCGCGATCGATCGGCGGTCGCGCCGTTTATACGGAGTCCTAGTTCTAATCGTCACGTTCCGAGTGCGTGTGCGGTTCGCGGCCCGATTTTAGGCCGCGTCGTTTTTTCGCGAGTTGACGTCCGTCAATCTCGTTCCTTGTCGCACGTGCACGCGCGCGCGCATATATATATATATATGTGTGTGTGTGTGTGTGTGTGTGTGTGTGTGTGTGTGTGTGTGTGTGCGTGCGCGCGCGCGCGCGCCGCCGGACAAGGCGCGTTTACACGGGACAACTAAAGAAGTTCAAACTCGGTATCGCGCAAATCGGAGCCCGGCGACGCGACCGGACGTCGCGCAAATCGCGCCTCACCTTCCACGACGAGATACTTAATTGGTTTACGAGCATCGCGCGATAACGCCCACTATCGGATGACAATAATGAGCATTGTAATTACGGGAGCATTTACATGAAGCCAATTAATGAGGAGGTACGTACAGGAGCCGAGCGGCGAGAGTAAATCTTTCAAATCAGACACGACGAGCGGAGCTTGAAATTAAAAAAATGCCCGCAGGCTCCCCGGGATGTATATACGATCGAACTGGAAGGGGGACAGAGATCAGAATGCGCGAATAATCACGGGATCCGTTGGTCAATCGAAGCAATTTGCATACGCAGCTTCATCCATTTTTTTTTAATCCAAAAAATCGGGATCGCTTCGTCCGCACGAGGAAAGTCGCGGCGGAGTCAATGTCATAAAGATCGCAATTACGTAACTTCGCGAAGATGAAAAACCTGATTCACTTGACGCATCGCGTTACGATCGAGCGGCTTGACCTTTATCTTTTTTGATAAAACGATAAGCAAAAAAAGAAAGCGAGCGGCAGGCAAACAATGAAAGAGAAAAATAACAGATGGTAATAGAAACAAAGCTACACAACGAGACTATAATTAACGAGCCGAGGAGTGATCTTGAGGCGGGCGGGGCGAGAGGGGAGGGAGGGATGGACGACATGACAATGCTTCTTTCTGACGGTGTTATTAGTCATAAATTAAATTGCGGAGAGAGAGAGAGAGAGAGAGAGAGAGAGAGTAAATGTTTAACAGTAATAAATATCTATTTATACTCGATATATGCAAATCGCGTGTATATCGACACGCGATCTGCGAGATGGATTCGTGTGTTAATTTCCTCGTTGCTCTCGGTATTAATTCGGCCGCGATCCGCCGCTCCGGCCACTCTATCGATTTCGTGTAAATTCAACACAACAGCCCCCCCGCCGATCCCCCGATTCTTATTACGCAACGCTCGTAAATCGGAGGATCGAAGCGGGCTGCTAATGGACGTTCGGGCTCGCGATCGAGTCTGCCTAATTGCCTGAAAGGAAAATCGCGCGTGCTGATCGAACGCACAACCGAAAAGGGATATTGAGAACGTATATTTGCGCGGACGCGTCCTTCGCTCTATCGAGGGCCGGCACGGCCATTTCAGGAGCGTAGCTATAGCTCGAACGTGTCCTTAAATCGCGATAAAGAGAAGCGTGAGCTTCTCTAACAAAAAGGAAAAAAGAAAAAAAGACGATCTGTAGCCTTTCGACGCAATTTGTGGATTTCGAAACGCGGCAAAGAACTCGGTAACTTTTTCATTGCGTTAAAATAAGGGGCAACAAATATAGCCCTGATAAAATATCTTTGTGCGCACTATTTTAAAATAAATTTGTTCCTATCGCGTTACAATATCAATACTCTTTCCTGAGATTCTATTTTAGAAGAATGAGAGGAATGCTAGCGACAGAATCCAATTTATTAAACAGGCATATAAATAATTATCGACATTGTCGACGAGACACGAAAGGAAGTCGATCGTTTTCCAGAGAGAAGATCGTAATCCAATATTATCGTCAGAAATCTGACAAATCAATCAAACGCCTGATTGATTTAATCAGAGCTCATATTTAAAAATGAGAAAAGCGAGGGGGAAATTGGGGCAGAGCGAATGATCGAGTATCAATCAATGCATTGTCTTTTCGTCACTCGCATGTTATTCCTAGACAACAGAAATGACTGATAAAGAGAGATTTATATGCAAAGAAGAATGAAAGGTAAAAGCCCCAGATTCTCCGGTATTATAATTTAATGCTCATTCCGCGTGTTTTTCGTTGTTTCTCGCGATAACTTCAAAGTAACAGAGTGTATATACTGAAAATTGATAATTGCGAATTGGAGAATTAGAATGTAATCAAGGAATTAGAACGAAACGGATTAAAATTAAAATTATCTGATCGGTCAAATTCTAATTTTCATTCTTCAATTTCCAATGAGCAGTCCGATATACGAGGTGCTTTCCATTTAGCGACACAGATTGACACAACAATCATTCCGTCTTTGTTGTCTTTGAATGTTGAAAAAAGACATGAGATGACTTGTGTTGACTTGTACACTGTTAAATCTATTGTGTCAAATTGAACTTCATTTATAAGTTGCCACTGATTCTACTTAATAAATAGTTATTTTTAACTAAAACAATAAAATTTAACCCAGATTTGGGTTAAATTTGAACTGTTTTAAATTATTTAAATCCAAAATAACTATTTATTTAGTTCACAAATTACTTAGTTACACAAAAATAACTATTTATTAAGTAGAAGTGGCGATTTAAATAAGGTTCCGTTTGACACTATAAATTTAACGATGTACACCGTTGAATCTATAATGTCAAACTGAACCTCATTCAAGTCGCTATACTGCTCCTACTTAATAAATAGTTTTTTTTAACTGAAACAATGCAGTTACTTTTAAATAAAACAATAAACTTTAACCCAGATTTGGGTTAAATTTGAACTGTATGAAATTATTTAATTCTATTATCTTAGTAAAAAATAACTATTAAGTAGGAGCAGTGGCGACTTAAATAAGGTTCCGTTTGACTGTAGATTTAACGGTGTACATCGTTAAATCTATAGTGTCAAACTGAACCTTATTTAAATCGCCACTAATCCTACTTAATAAATAGTTATTTTTAACTAATACAATACAGTTACTTTTAAATAAAACAATGGAATTTAATCCACATTTTGGTTAAGTTGGAACTGTTTTAAATTATTTAACTCCATTGTTTTAGTAAAAGATAACTATTTATTAAGTAGGAGCAGTGGCGACTTAAATAAGGTTCAGTTTGACATTATAGATTTAACAGTGTATGTCGTTAAAGGCACGCACGGGAAAGTTTCAGAACTGGAGGAGAGAAAGAAGGAATCCTCTCGACGTGAGTGTTGACGTTTCCTCGACGCGGTCGCCGCTGCGATGCTCACCTGTTTGCTGTCGGCGCCGCTGTTCGGCGGCGAGCTTTCGCTGATCGAATCGGCGGCGCTAGCGGCCGGAAAATTAGCCGGAGCGATCTCGATGCTCGAACCTTGCTCCGCGGCAGCGGCGGCGACGACGACGACGGCGGCGGCAGCGGCAACGGAGTCATTGTCGCCGTCGTCATTGTTGTTGTCGTTACTATTGTTGCTGTTGTTGCTGCCGGTTGTCGATGCGGCATCGACGTTCTCCACATCGATAACGACGTCGGCAGCAACGGCGGCGACGGCGACGGCGGCGGCGGCGGCGGCGTCGGCGGCGACGGCACGATCGCTCTCGGCGATTTTGTCAGGCGCTACCGGCTCCTGACGGTGCTCCGGCCCTGGGGCCATCTTGATCGAGATTGACAGCGCGGTGTCCGCCGTGCTCATGGCTCCCTCGTCATCTCTCCCCTTCTGTCTCTATCCTTCAAGGGCCACGAAGCCGCGAAAGGACCGTTTCACGCGTACTCGTCAACGGTCCGTGCCGCATTGAAGACGCTGCAGCGCGCTGCACCCCCCCGGTGACACTCTCGATCTCGACGAGGCGTGAGGCACGCTCAAATCGTCGATGACAGCGTCGATGACGACGTCGAGGTCGAATCCCGGTTGCGCCGACGGTTGCTTTACGCAGAACGCTAAACTTTCTTCAGTCGTTCGAATCGAATTGAATTCCCCTTTCTTCCTTGTATTCCACCTTGGAGATACAATATCGCGATTTTAGACGAGGATCGGGACTAAATCCAGGTGTTCGACGAACGGAAAAGAACGAGACGCCAATTTAGGATTCAGTTTCAACTTGGAAAGGAATATCGCGAGTGTCGTAGTTAATCCAGAAAAAAATTCAGGCTATATAGGTGAACGAGCGAGAGAGAGGTCCTTAATCGGGGAACAATCGAGGATCCGAAGGAAGCTTCGATCGAGACTGACTTCCGGGACGCTGTACTCCGGAACTTAACACGCGCACGATTTGCCGATGATGCGGTAACCGCGATGCGGAGTTTCCGCGAGAGATTTTCGCACTCGATCCCGCAAACGTGCGCGCGCGCGCGCGCGCGAGCGCGACGGGAAAGATGGCCCCGTGGTTCCCCCGCGCCGATTGATCCTCCTTGAGAATCGAATTGCGGAGATTTCCCCGCGGAGAGTTCCGTTCCGCTTTCCGCTTCCGCGAGACCGGGCGACACTCCGAACTCGCGCGGCGATCGAGGAGCGCTCTCGATGTCGAGAGGGGGCCCGACGACGGCCGAGACCCTCCCCGCGAATTTGAGGTTAGCCTCGGATCGAGCGGGCTGTCAACTGGCGCGGCGACACAGCTGTCCGTCGCGACGACGTCATCGATCGCGACGGGCTGACGGAACGGCGAGTCGCGGCAACACCGACGCTCGGCGTTTTTCCTTCCTCGTCGCCGAAAACGACGTGATGTGCGCGAGGGCGGGGGGGAGGGGGGGAGACAGGGCGGGCGGGCGGCGGGAGATCTTAATACACCACTCGGAATTCAGCGTTCCTTCGCAAGCTCGCGGATACGAAGCGGAGCGTCCGTACGGGAGACCAACTTACGTAAACGCGACACCGCTCTGGCGGTCACATGTCAAATTTGAACGATCGACGCGTCGCCAACGGATGAATTCGACCGCGTGCCGTTTCTCGCCTTCTGCTGCTGCTGCTGCTCCTCCTCCTTTTGCTCCACCACCACCACCACCACCACCACCTTCTCCTCCTCGTTCACTCTCCTCTGGTAACGTCGCGCGTCGAGGGTCCAGCTTCTCAAAAGTATGGATTTTCCGAGATCGGTCGGGGCCCATTCGATGTCGCTGCCGCGCACGTTGGCGTTTCCCCACGAAAGTAGAAGGTCCGGCTGGACAGTACCATTTCTAAATCACGACGACGACGACGACGACGGACGACGACGAGTGACGGCGCGTCGTCGCGTGGACACGGGCGGCGACGCCGCCGGGGCTTCTCGCGCGGCGGGAGACTCGGCGGACGAGGCGGCGCGGCGTCGTCGTGGAGCGGCGACGCGCGGCACGGAGAACAACCGTCCAATTTTGGCGTTACGACGCGGCGATGTTGATAATCGCCGCCGCGGCGAGCACTCATCGATTCAAAATGGCCGCCGCCGCTGCGCAGGGGCAACGCGGATGCACGCACGCACGCACGCGTTCGTCCGCCGCGCGTGCATATGTACACGCATACGGGACGGCACGGCAGAGAGTCCATCCGCGAGGATGTCCCGCGGATTATATATGTATATATATGTATTATTTAAAAACAAAATAAAATGCTTTAACGCACACCGCCGCGCGCGCGCATCTGCGACGCTCCCTCCTCACAGCCACATACACACGACACAGCGACGCGCGAGCGCCTGCCGCACGTACACATACAATACGCGCACGCACACGACGCACACGCACGCGCGTGCGAATCTCGCGCGCGGTCGCCTTATCTCCCTTGGCCGCGCGGCGTACGAAGAGGAGGCACGGCGAGCGAATTCGTCATCGCCGCCCCGACGCGACGCGGCGCCACGGCGAGCCCCGCGACACGACGAACCCGGGGGGCCGCTCTCACGGCGCGGATGCCGTCGGCATAGTAGATGCCGCGCGCTCGCTCTCTCGGGCGCGAAAGATCGCGGATGGGATCTCGCGCGGATCGCGACGGAAAGGTAGATATATAGAACCACACACGCACGGAGCGACCCGTGCGCGCCCGTCGATTGACTGTCGTCCGAGCGTCCCCGAGATCTCGGGCGCGCGCCGGGTTATCGATCGCGCGACATCGCCTCTTCCCAGGAGGTGAAAGGCTCTCCTCCGCCGACGTCCTCGTGCGAGACGCGTAGGAGAGGCTGATCGGCACACCGGGATGGGAGATCCGACGACAACGACGACGACGATGACGACGACGACGATGACGCAAAACCAATATTGTTCGTTTGGCGAGATTCGCGGCGGACGGGCGTCGCGCGTCGCGCGGTCGAGGCCCCGCAAAAACACCCGCCCGTGAAGACTTCGATTTCTTCGGGCCGCGAGACGGGGAGGCGGAGAGACGGTGTGCGGCGGACGCGCACGGAGCAGATCCCCCGCGAGGGCGAGGACAGGTCCACCCCGAGGGAGAGCTTTTACGGACACCCTCCACCGAGCGACGCCGTCCGCACGCGCGCGAACGATTATCACCGGGGAAAGCCGAGGGCGGATCGTCGTGCCTTTACAACGGACTTCACACTTTCCCGTCGCGACACTATAAAGAGCCGGAATCCTCGCTTTTGCGCAGAGGAACGGCGGCGGACCAGCCGCTTGGCCTCCGAAAATGTCGTCTGGCGTGCAATCGCGTGCCCGCTCGACGGTGCACCCGGTGCCACCGTTCCTCCGCTTCCGAAGCCGGATGCGAGACCGACGAATACATTAATTTTTGCAATGCCAAGAACTATATTGAAGGAACAAAAAAGATTTTTTTTTGTTAAGAGTTTAGGAATTTTCACAGTACACGGAGAGAATTTCCTTATAAAATTTACCCTGAAAATCATGTTAATAGTGAGACAACATAGTATTTTGACAAATTTTACTATGCACTACAATAAATAATGATAAAAAACAATGAAAATCACATAAAATTCGTCAAAATACTATGTTGTCCTACGATTAACATGATTTTCAGGGTAAATTTTAAAATAAAATTCTCTTCGATGTATAAATATCGAAGTTGCGATCTATTTAATCGAACGGTCAACCTGAAGAATTGATCGAATGAAAATTCGTCATTTCTTAATTAAATCCTTCTTTTCATGTTATGAATGATAAAAAAATTGATGTCAATTTTTTTAACATCCATATTTTATCAATTCAACTAATTAAATAAAAATTAATATTAAGTATTTACGTTCATTTTAACGAAATTAATCGGAGTTTAGTCGGGAGATTCTGAAGAGAGGATTGCGGCTCGCATTTACCGAGCCGAACAGCCTAGCGTGGCGCGTGCGAAACTAGCCACGGCCATGGGTTTTTGATCACGACCGGTGAACGCGTCACCGCAGGTCGATACATCTCGAAGTCGCGCGCGTGTACGATACCGCTCGACGCCAACTACGTTCTCCCGTTGCGGCCTCGGCCCGCCAGCCAGCCAGCCAGCCAGCTACATCCGGACGACGCGACGCGACGCGACGCTCGCCGCACCACAGAGCTCTCTCTGGAAAGAGAGACGGAGGATCGTGCATTCAGAGTTTCTGTCGCGATCCGAGTCAATCCGAGTGAAGTTATCCCGCGCCGCGCCAGCGGTCCGCAGCAGAGATACGGCCAGTCTCGCATTCGAGATAATCCCTGACACGGCCCGCGCCGGCGGCTTCAGATAAGCCCATTATCTCGTAGATAGAGATATTCCCGCGGGGAGGAGGAGGAGGATCTACACACCGGAGCGCTCACGCACGCCGAAAATGACGGAGTCGGAGAATATCTTTTTGTTCGTGCCCAATATCATCGGTAAATACCTAATTTGAGGAAGCTACTCTTCCTCGCGGCTACGTACTTTTAATTCAGCGCTGCGTCGCGCTGAACCTGTGCTCTATTTTGCATACACAGTGCGCAGTATGACAGAGCATGTTTGCCGGTGCCCGCCAAAATTCTAACGAGACTAGGTGGCTGATGAAACCGTCGGATCATCCCCCCCCCCCTCCCCCTCGACGAGTCGTAATTTCGCGCAATTCCAAAGTAATTCAGTCGACGAGACGCATATTAAATCATGCGATCACACGGCGCTTTTAAGGTTGCCTTTTATTGATTGAGTCAGCGCGCTATTGTCTCGTGTAACATAATTGTATCTCGGCCCCACAGCCAATAAATTCTCCCTGTAACTCTCCCTCCTTTCAAAACGATTTCTACTTCGAGCCCCGAGAAGCATAAATTTTCGAATTACTTTCCGATTGATGGTGATTGACAAAGCGCAATCGCGTTAAACAAAAAAAATCACGTTCGCCAACGATGTGAGGACATTAAAACGATGTACAATTCTGCACTCCCCAACAGGCTTCGGCAGGGTGATCCTGGCACTGATTTCCTTCTACTTTATGCCCACCAACTACGTCATCGCAACGTGGTGCTACGTGGTCAGCGCGTTGCTGGACGCGATAGACGGCCATGCGGCCAGGTACTACAATCAGAGCACCAAGTTCGGCGCGATCTTGGATCAGCTGACGGACAGGGTAGGCACGATGTGCCTCATGGTCACGCTATGCCTGTTCTATCCCGCCTACACCTTCTGGTTTCAATTGAGCATGGCCATCGACATAGCCTGCCACTGGATATATTTGCACACGTAAGAAATAATACGTATCTATCATAGACTGCATTGTAATATATACGAAATGTAACATATACGACTGAGACTGAATTGTAATATATATACATATATATATGTGCATACAACGCAATTATATTAAGAGAAAACATGATAATTATACACGCTGTTGCCTCGTCGAAATACAACAGGACTCTTCTGCAAGGGAAAACCAGTCACAAGTTCCTGGACATGTCTGAGAATCCGATCATGAGACTGTACTACACGAACCGCATGGTACTATTCATCATGTGCGCTGGCAACGAGGCGTTCTACGCCGGTCTGTACCTCCTGCACTTTACCGAAGGACCAATTTGTAAGTGCCACGAGCAAGTTTCTCTCGGTTTTCTTTCTCGCGCGAACGTGTGGGGATTGTATAACAATTTATATCTTGCAGTTGCCGGTGTAGGTCTGTACAGATTGGTCGTGTACCTGAGCGCACCGATAGCACTTGTCAAAGCAGCCATCTCCGTACTGCACGGATACGTGTCGTGCATCAATCTCAGCATCATCGACGTGAAGGAGCGCCAGGAGCGGCTTAAAGTGAATTGAATCTCTCTTTCATCTCTCGGCGCATTATTCGCTAGTCAAATTGAATGTGATCAAATCTCTTCCTTAATTCTGTAAATTGACGTTACACACCTTACATTTACGATACTTCCATATATATAGAGATATATCTATTTTTTTTAAGAAGGCAGAAGTGTTTAAAGATGCGTGGTCGAGAGGTGTCTCTATCCGATTTGCAGGCCTATTCCGTAACCTTCGAACGACAGGGTCGTTATCAGCTGTATCGTCGCTGTGCAGGTATAATGTATGGTAAAAAAAATCTGCCCAACGGCAATACAATGACAACGATCCTGCCGTCAAGAGTTGTAGAATAGACCTATTAGTCGATACGAAGGAAATACTTATTCTTTCAAAATAGCCCGAAGATAAATGGCCAAATCCCTTACTTATACGTTAAGAATATAAATATATGTGAAATCTATACTCTTGCGAAAAAGAGGAGAGAAACTTATTTTTAAAGTAACTTCCAATAGCGACTGTGACCAAAAAAAAAAATACTTCGTTATCAATGTACATTCCGTTATGTTTCATAGAGTTGTTGTTTTAGCTGGTTGTTCGATTTATAGCGCATTTATGACACTCAGAATGATTATGGCACTCAAGTGATTATTGATGTTCTACTTTTAGGATCTTTCATAATGTTTTTATAGACACTGCAAACTCCAATGTATCGATAATCTCCATATTTTTTGAATATTTTTCCAGTAGACAGTTTAGACGAGGACCTAACATATGTTCTTTGTGTCAGCCAAATGCACGTAGCGAGAATGATTTCGATGTATTCACAATGTGTGTCGAATAAAACGTAATTTTAACATCTCTCTGCTTAATTGCTCTTTATTGCACTGAATTCTATGAATATAGTCAAGTCGACGTGTACACGAGAGTGATAATATAATTGTACGAACATTATACATCAGCTCTGCTCAATTTGCAACATATGGTAAACATGAGTAACGAAAAAAAAAAGCACTGTACGCAGTGCAGCATCCTTTTCCACCAAATTCACGTAAACTCTGTTCAAAAATACGAATTCAAAACAAAAGAGATACGCCACGTACATCAATACGTATCGAGCGTAAGGAAGAAAAAAAAATATTACTCTCGATTTGTGTGACGCAAAGGAAGGGAAACGAGGGGACGTGTCGAACGGGATTATATTGCAAAGAATCAGCCGACATATTTCGTATTATCGCCGCTGGTCTCGTTCCGCGCGCGGAGCCTGGCGACGATATCGCCACGGCGCGACGATGACGTGCCTGACTGTGCACCGTTAATTGACGCACCTGCACGCCTAAGACGGGGCACAAAAAACAACGTATTCAATTATAAAACGTGACAGATGAGTTTCGCACGCGCGCGCGCGCGCGACCGGGCGCGCGACAGACACGTTTCTCGATGATGATAAGGAGGGGGAGGGGGAGGGGCCGCGTGCGTGTCGCGCGGCGCCCAGGCGACGACGGCAAAGGGACAACGGGGAAATTCGACCGTCCTCTCGCGCGCCGCGCGGGATGACACCGCGATGACACTGCCCAGGGTCGGATGTGCACTCGGCGAAGTGCCGGGGGGGGAGGGGAGGGAGGGGGGGCGAAGGAGGAAACGAACGTACTAACCTCAAAGGCCTCGCTCCCCCGACGTGACCAGTCATAATTTCGGCGCCATATTATCACTTCAAAAATCACACTCGCGCATATCGCGGGGCAAGAAAGTTTCGCCGACTCCGCGTTTTCCGCGGGGCGCCTTCCCTTCGTTTATCGCCGGGGACACCACGTAGGGGCGAGCGCGTCGCGACGCACGGCCCGCGGGGACGCGGCGGAGGGTGTCGGTCGACGAACGTCGGGCGTTTCGCACGCGAACGCGGCACGCGTAGCAAAGTACAATATTTATAAAAACAGATGAGGATCCAGCGGCGGCGGCGGCGGCGGCGGCGGACCGGCGCTCGCTCGGTCGGAGGCGGCGCGATTCGGCACGCGCGACCGGCCAACCGCCCACCCCACTCCGCCCGGCCCGTCCCGTCCCCCCCCCCCCTCCCCCGCCGCTATCCGCTGCGCCGCGTGATCCCTTCGCGACACCACGGAATCTGCGGATAACCGCCGCATCCTGTCACGCCGAGCTCTGTCTTTAATCAACATGATAAAGCGCGGCCCGAACGCGCCCGATTCGGGCGCGACTCGCTTCGCGCGATTGTACTTCGCCATCGCTTCGCTTCGTCACGCGATTCCGCGACGCGTGATCCCAGCGAAGCGGAGTAAGTGCCAGCATTCGAAAAAAATTCTCTCGAGTTTTCGAATGACGAGCACGATTGAAGATAAGGTGCCTCTCGCGCCACTAGATTTCTTTCTCGTTTTTTTTACAGAAAAAAATTTTTTTTTAAGCAAATCTGGACTCGACAAAACTTGAGCTATTCCCCACCGCTAGTCTTCCTTATTCCCGCGACACGACGACAAGCTGCTCGCTAAGATTCAAATCCGCCCTCGAAGGATACACCAACTTCAGGTTTCCCTGGGTGTCGACTATTTTGACTTGCTGAACCATCAAATTGTTACACTTGCCGTCCTCCATGTCCTTTGATTCTGCGGAATCAGTAACGCCTGAGACTATCAATTCTTTCAGGAATTGGTCCAACACGTTCCTAAGGAATGAAAGAGTACAAGATATTATTACACAGCTGATCTTTTCTTGAAAAGACCAGTTGTTGAAAAAAAAATTGTGATACATTATTCGAATTTACAAGATATTATTACACAGCTGGTCTTTTCTTGAAAAGACCAGTTGTTGAAAAAAAAAATTTTGATACGTTATTCGAATTTTACAAATGCTTGTAAATAAATTGGAATCTCACCTACAAATCGTGTATGACAAAGGACTCGTTACTTCTACAAGCATCGCTTGTGTGGTTGCAGACATTTTCGTCACATCACTGTTTGTGATGGGTGGAAACGAAATAACCTGCTGCGACTCGTCCAACAGACACGGGAACAAAGCCTTGCCTTCCAGCATATACAAATACTTGTGTATTCCGGAATACACGTTTCGTTTCTTCTCCTTACGCAGATTCTCAGCTTCCGTCTGCAGCTTCTGGAATAGATCCGCACCCGTGTACGTCTTGCTGTGCATTAGAGGCTTTATTTCCAATTCTGTGGGTGGCTTCGCCGTGTACGTGAGGGCACCTGCAAACAAAACACGCGTCTCGCTTAGTAAAATGTAATAATATAAAAACAATTCACTCCTTATTATTAATTTTGCAACTAATATTATTATTAACAAGAAATAAAAAGAGCCAAAGCACGATGTTTAATGCCCCAAGTAAAAATAACTATTTGATTATAATATAGTTCACAGACGTTTGCGATCCAAATAGGATCATTTTCAATGTTAAGCAAACAATTACCAATACATAATATAAAAACAAAATTCGGTCATCTTAACGTTTGTTATTTGTTTGTATTTTTATATGGTCAGACCGTTAAGATGACTGAATTTTGTTTTCATACTATTAGTAATTTTTTTGCTTAACATTGAAAATGATCCTGTTTGGATCGAAACGTCTGTGAACTATATTATAATTAAATAGTTATTTTCACTTGGAGCATTAAACATCGTGCTTTGGCTCACAGCCCTTTATTTCTTGTTAATTTATTATTTATTGAGCCAAAAATTTCAATTTAATATTATATTCTGCAACTATATTATACTATATCATGTAACAACTAATATCATTATATATATCATATAACTGTCCCTATTAGTGTGCTTTTATATTTAAATAAGTCATAAAAATAAATTGGTACAAATAAATAGACAAAGTATTTTTTTATTAAGTTAATACTTTAACTTAATAAAAAAAAATACTTTGTCTATTTATTTGTACCAATTTATTTTTATGACTTATTTAAATATAAAAGCACACTAATAGGGACAGTTATCCTAAACACATTTACCCGGTGCAACGAGTTTCAAGTCGTGAGTCGCTATTGTAGCCGCATTCCTCTTCTCGCATACCCCATCGTGCAATCTCGTCTGCAGCTGGATGAACTTCTTGAAACTCTCCTCCGTGAAGCTCATATTCCTCACGATGCACGCGGCTATGTAGGGCCGGATAATCTTCACGTGCTCCGTAACTTTTATCACCGGCGTGTCGTCCGCCACCTTCAAGACTTTCAATCTGTGCGCCAAACTGTCCACCGTTGTCTCGCTCTCGGAGACCCTCTGGCCCTTCTTTCCCTTCTTCGACGTGTTAGCCTCCGCCGTGGACAATTCGCTCCTCGGGCAGTGCGACTTCACGTAATCGAGCACTTGCTTGGTGGAACATTGGTTAATCAGTTTCGTTAGCCTCCTGTCCGACAATTTATTCCCCTTCAGGTACACCTCCTTCAGTTTGCTACAATCCGCTAATTCGCTTGGTACAACTGTAAGTTACATTATTGCATTATTTACTTGTCTTCGAACAATTTAACGATACAGAATATACAAGGACAATTGAACGAGAGGCTATACATGGAAATAAAGCCGCATTACCAGAAATCAAGTTGTCCGCCATGTTCAGGATCTTCAGTCCTTGCAGTCGATTTATACTAATTGGAATTTCCGCTATCCGATTCCCGTTGACGTGGATCTCGGACAGGTGCACGAGCTCCGCGTGGCAAACGTCGGGGAAGGCCTCGAGCTGATTGTTCGACACATCCAGGATGCTCAATTTCGCGCAGCACGAGCTTTGCGGGGGTAGGCTCCGCAGAAGATTCGAGGCGAGGTTTATCGTGCTCAGATGGGGATGACTGCCGAGCTCCGTCGGGAGCTTGGTCAGCTTGTTCATCGAGCAATCGAGCACCTTCAGCTTGGGCAGCCTGGCGATCGCGCACGGCAACTCGGCGAGCTCGTTCGAGTGCAGCACCAAGGTCGCGAGATTCGCCAGCCTCTCGATGTCGTCCGGCACCTCCTGAAGACGCGTATGCGTTATGCTGAGATAATTCAAGTTGTGGAGGTTAAACAGATTCTTATCCAGGCCGGACGTTTCGATCAGCTTGGACACCGACGGGCCCGACAGCACCAGTTCGTGCCTGTTCTTCTCGGCCGCCTGCTTGACGGCCTCCCACGACTCCTCGAGCGTCATCATAGCGGTCGTCGATTCCCCTCGTTCGGATCTCTATTCAACCTCGTGCAATGTAAACAGTGTGTGGTGCTATCACGACGAGAAACGACTTTGAGGTTATATTTGTAGATCGGCTGAGCTCAGTCGATTAATCGATTCTTGTGTGGGCTCGAAATTCGATTGTAGTCTCGATTTCTTTCAAATTTACGAATTTCAAAAAATTGCCGATTAACTTCATCGGCAATTAACTTATCAAGTAATATTTTATTTACATAGTTCAAGTATCAAGTAATAATTATTTTATTTACATAGATTATTGTTTTACACGCGAAAAGAAAAATTTGATTAGAGACTGTGAATTGTATACGGCTTGAAATTTTGCTATAAACAATTTTGATTATTGAATTAATTAGCGATTAATTTATTGTGCAATAAATTAATTGTTTTTTTGTTAAAATAAGTAAAATAATTATATTCTTTTATGTGAAATTAGACTGAAAGTAAATTATGTTAAATTATGACTTAAATATTAATGTAGATTAATAGTTAGATATTTTGCAGTAAGCAATTCTGTCGGTTGAATTAATTGCTAATTAAATTACTTAGAGTTTAATAAAAGTAACTGTGATGGTTGATAGAATGATTGATTGATCAGTTCTCAATTTTTATTAAGGTATTTTATTGAACACTAAACTAATTACACAAAAAGTTTAAGTTATATAAAAAATAAAAATATGTTTTGATATTAATTAGAATATTAAAATATCATTTCTATTACTTTAATTTTATTTCTAAAAAATGATTTCTATTACTTCAGAATTTTTATTTCTGTCCTTCTAAATTCTCCGTACCATTTTAAATATCATATAAACGCAAACCCCGGAAGTACCGACCTGTATGTAAATGGCGCGCGGGATTGATTTATTTTTTTCGGCCGAAAATTATCTTACCGCTCGCGTATTAGAAAGGGGAACTCGAGTCCTAACGTTTAGCTCTAGCACGGCGTTAGATATAACTAAACTGGTTTTAGATAACGCGCAGTAGAATTTTCGTAACACTGCTTTCAGTCTCCTGCTATCTGCGCGCTAGTTAAACACCGCGATATTCGTAGGTCGCAATTGGTCGCTACCATTTCTAATCGCTCGAATAATTATAAATAGCGATGATTTGCCCGTTATTTCTTGTGCGCGTAAAAACCCAGCCGTGTCGACGTCCCCTCGTGTTATATTTTATGCAAATCTCCATTTCGAACTCGCGACAATATACAAACGTTTTTAGAATTAGACCTCGCTTTCTGAGGTCTTTGAGGTAATTAAGATGTAGTCAGAATCCTAAAAAAACTTTGATTTCTTCTAATACTTTCTGACTAAAAAAATTTATGAAGGCTTAACCTCTGATATAGAAAAATTTATGAAGATGCGAAATAGAACGTTTTTTTATAACGCGATCATAAACGTCTCGCGATCATGACATGACGCGATCATAAACAGAAGGTCCAAACAGACTCATTTATTCTTTACAACGTCTTTTATCAAAGTTCTTTTTAGTTTCTATTTTATAATTGAGCGAAATTCTTGAAATACTTTGAGCATCTTCGCTTTACAAGTAGTTAATTTTCATAAACATTTGAAGAATGTAAAAATTCGAAGTGTTCCTAACAAGGAATGTAATAATTTCAAGCGTTTTTCGTTAAAGTTTCTTTTCTTAAATTAACGTCTTCAGGTGAAATAATGTATCGTAATTGTGGGTATAATATCGAAACGGGCGGCACTAGAGTGTCGACCTTGGCAATTTACTGTCATATGCCGAGGTTCTTCGATGACAAATGTTTGCTCTCGGCAAGATTTACATGTGAATGACTTGTGTCGGGAAGTTAATCCCATCGTTCTATGTGCTAATAACGCCGTTCTCTGATTATGCAAACGTACTTGAGTGGCAATGACCATCTCAACGGATTTCGCGCTTCCTCACTTCCGCAGGGAACACGTCGCGCTTCTATTTAAAATTTTTTTTTATTTCTTTTACTCCTTGACACATGCGAATGATATATGAATCCACCGCATTGAAATCCTGCCGCATTTGAATTCTCCAATCGAGATTTATCTTCTAAAATTGTTTCGCCTTACCTTCCAGAATTTTTGTAAACTTTATTTACAACCTTGAAGAGCTAGAAAATATTTTACACATAATTTTCTTTTAATTTCTAATTAAATAATTCTAAATTAAATGATTGCTAATTGAGTGTTTTCATATTGAAATCATGTGTTGTGTCTCTTAATGAGAGAACGCTAGTGATTCAGTATATCTCCTGAATTCGAATGTTAACAACGTTAATAACGTTCAATCTACGTATATCATCGAGATTGCGAAAGAGGTACTAAGAATTCGGCCTCCTCTAGAGTAATCGCGCCGCGCGTCGGAAGGATTAATGAGTCACGGTAATAGGCGTCCTCGGAGGTCTTGGTGTCGCGCCTTCGAGGTATCAGAGAGATACCGCAGGCGCAACACAAATCTGAGCTCGCCATCACCCAAAGTCCACGGTTATCAACGGATGGCCCCGATCACTTCCGGAGCCGCTTCCTACGACGAGCACATCCGTGCGGGTGGGGCACAGATTTTTTTTTCGATGTGGCGTATAAAAACGGGAACGACCGGAGTGGCTGCGTATCATTGCATTCGCGCCCGTTGTCGCGGACTCGTATACATCAGGTATCCATATAGATATACCTTAGGTACGCGGTACCTCTCGCCGTGTGAGATCCGATCAGAACGTCGATCATGCCGTGTCGACTGTTGGCCACCCTCGCGTGGACGCTCCTCGCCCTGACGACGCTGGCGTCGGCGTGGCCGAACTTTCGGCGTCGGGACGTCTTCGACAACGCCGTGGACAGCGGACTGATCGCACACCTGCGGAATCTCGGCAGTTCGCTCTACGGATTCCCGAGCAACGAAACCGGCTTGAAGGTGGCACAGTGGCGCGAGGGTATGGACGTGAACCCGGAGGAACTGGGCGAGTACGCGGAGGGAGACATCCTATTTCCGCCGAGCATCGGGAGAAACGGTCTCTCGGCGGTTTCCGCCCGGTGGCCCAACGGCGTCATTCCATTTATAATTAGCCCTTACTTCAGTGAGTAACTTTGGGATACTTTATACGACTCTATCATCCTATATCTCTTTTCTTTTTTTTTTTTTTTTCGAAATTGAAAAGACGCGCGTTCCGCAATATGCCATATCAAAATGATAAGGCAATTATATTACTAATTGTGAATTATTTTATTATTTTGTTTGATAATGCTGAGTACAAGTGCTATTTAAGATAATTGAGTATTTAAGCATTTATCTGAGCAATTGTTGAAAACATTTCTGAGTGATTAAAATGTCCACTCGAAAAATGTTTAAAGAAACAATTAACTTCGAGAGCGCCTTTACGGTCACGGCTGGATCTTAAATGCCTAATAAATTCTATATGAATTTTTCTGAAATCCATGTATAGCCGTTTCTATTCCAGCCTCAGCTAATAATTGCGTTTCAAGTCCGAACATTTAATCAACGCGCAGTTTAACGGCTGTACATGGATTTCAGAAAAATTCATATAGAATTTATCAGACACCTAAGATCCAGCCGTGACCGTAAAGGCGCTCTCGAAGTTGGTTGTGTTATTCACTTAGGCGGTCTTATTCAAAAAATCATTTAAAGAAACGTTTATTTTTGGTAAAAAAAAACGTAGATAAATATAATTGAAATATCATTTTTTCTCTATCTGTTAAAAAGTTTGCTTAAAAAGAACGAATGCACAAACTTTTTTACAAATAGAGAAAAATGATATTTTAATTATATTTATCTAGATTTTTTTTGCCAAGAAGAAACGTTTCTTTAAACGTTTTTCGAGTAGACATTTTAACCACTCAGAAACATTTTCAAGAGTCGGTTATGAAACGTTTCTGAAACGAATACGTGCTACCTGGGACACATTCCTTTTATGAAATTCACATTGTAGACGCGCAGCAGCAGGGAGTTATATACGACGCAATGGACGACTATCACAAGTACACGTGTATCAGATTTAAACCGTACACGGGCGAGGAAAGCGATTACGTCAGAATCACGGCTGGTAACACTGGATGCTGGAGCAGCGTGGGCAGGATTGGCGGCCGGCAGGACATAAACCTTCAGGTACCCGGTTGCCTGACGCAGAAGGGCACGGTGATACACGAGCTGATGCACGCCGTCGGCTTTTTGCACGAGCACAGCAGATACGAGCGAGACGATTACGTGGACATTCTGTGGGACAATATCTCAAATGGTGTGTACTCGCGTCCCACTCACAAAGCGACAGAACTATCTGAAAGAAAATATATAATCCTAAGATCTATTGATCTTTTGTCATACTTTCTTGAGTCGCCCTGGTTTTCTTTTATTTTAACTATTACTATCATTTTTTAAAGAATGAAAATTTTGAAGATTGATTATTTCTTAATGAAAATTTAATTGATCTTTTGTCATACTTTCTTGAGTCGTTCTGGTTTTCTTTTATTTTAACTACTATCATTTTTTAAAGAATGAAAATTTTGAAGATTGATTATTTCTTAATGAAAATTTAATTTAACCGGTTTTATTTAGTATTATTTATTATCAAGTAACTTATAAATTTAAACGTTTTTTTAAATTTAGGCTGTTCTTTTATTTACATGATTTTTGAGAGATTTTTTATCGCTTGTTGCGTGAGAATTTAATATTAACGCCCTTGACATAATAATGTTTTCAACAATAAATACGAGCGGTTCTCTGTAAAACGATAAATTGTAAAATTTTAGTCATCGACCCGAATAACCGGCCGAGATTATCTCGTCTGCATTATGAAATTCTATTTTTATCATGTGTATTATGCATGTAGGCCACGCGCACAATTTTAATAAGGCCCCCCAGGAGATTACCTACGCCTTCGGTGTCGGTTACGATTACGGGAGCGTGATGCACTACTCATCGACGGCGTTTTCCAGGAACCATCAATTAAAAACCATCGTGCCCAAGGTAAGCGATCCCTAAAAATTTCATATCCCATTTTCATATATGCTGCTCAAAAAAATTATGGCATAGAAAAATTTTGGACAAAAATTGGTCAACTTTGACTAACGGTAACTCCGCGAAAAATCATCGTAGGATAATGAAATTTTTTTCAAATTAAAGAGAAAGGTTCAAACTTTATAATGCTGTAAACCGCATCCCCGAAAAAAATTTTAGCAAGTCCGTGCATTTTATCAAACTTTGCAATTTTCTGCATGGAAAACATGTTCTCAGATTTAAGAGTTTACAGTAGCATTACAGAGGTGCATTAAATTTAAAAGTATTTGCATAGTATGCAAATGCACATGATATAAATATGTAATTATGCATGTTATTTTATTTCCAAACGCGGAAAATTTTCAAAATATTTTCTGACTATCGCTAATTTGCTATGAAATTACACTTTTATCAAATGGATACTTAACTGTAGTACCTATTTCAAAAGGAAAACTTATATAAGCAGATAAAAACAAGGACAAATTTGATGCACCGCGCATGACTTGCAAACTTGTAAATACTCTTTTTTTCTATAGCAAAGTAGTGGCGAAACGGTACCTCAAATTTAACAATTAAACTAACAGGCTAATGATGTAAAGATTACATATAAAAATGATAATCACTTAAAATGTGTACTTTTGTAAATCTTTCATAATAAGTATATTGACATAATTGTTGAAAATACAATATAGAATGCAGAATCATATAGAGAACATTGGAGTGATTTATGTTATATCGGTACTGACTGTGATATACTTCGACTAAAATTTATTTTATAATTTCAGGTCTATTTCTGTTCTTTTCCTTAACTATAGACCTTCATGGAATAAAAGTGTCGGTCCTTTTTT